ACGTTACTGGGCCCGCTCGAGCAACTTGATGAACAACCGGAGGACAGTGCTGCGGTGCTTTTTTTTTTTTTTTAAATTTTCTTGAGGGGGTTGGTCCAAGAGCTGATGCCAACCTCTTATTTTAAAGCTCCGTGTTGCACCCCCAAAAGATCTTGATGACAGTGAGACCCAGAGTCGTCGTGGTGCTGGAGCACCGCGTGGGGCTGGGGAGAGTCTCCTGTTGTGAACGGGCCGAGTGTGGAGGATTTGTGAGATTCGAGCTTGGCGCTCAGAGCGCAGAGCCGCTTCTTCCCTTGGTGCTCCTCTGGGTCATACCCCAGTGCCGGGGGCTGGGTGTGCGTGAGGGGTTGTCATGCCCGGGGTGCTCGGGGGTCCAGCCTGGGCCTAGGGCCTAAGGAGCATTGCTGAGTGTTGCTGCTGGTTTATGCTATGAGGACCGTTGGTTGCCTTTGTGCCCCTGACATCCCTTTTGGTCTTTGGCTTCTTTTTGAGTCACACCCCGTGATGCTCAAGGGTTCCTCCTGGCTCTGCACTCAGGAAGCACTCCTGGCGGTGCTCGGGGGACCCTATGGGATGCTGGGAATTGAACCCGGGGTGGCTGCGTGCAAGGCTTGCTCCACCCCCCCTTTGGCGTCTCTTTGAGGTCCACATACGCACCCAGTTGAGTTTGTTTTCACTCGCATTGTTTATCGCTTGTTACAGAGCATGTGAAGGTAGGGGAACTGAGTTTTATCCCGATGTGTCCTTAAGCTGACTGATTCTCTTCCTCTGTCGAATGTTTAGCAGGAAGGCGGTGCCTTCAGAAGCTGTTTCTGTGACCGGAAGGAGGGTTTGATGGCTCCATCTCTGGTGTATAGACCCTGGAGGCCCGTCAGCCCTTAGTGTTGTCGTCCCCTTGCCAGCGCAGAAAAGGAAGAGGCAAGGGGGGCCCTAGGGACAGGTCAGGACCCGAGTTCCTCCTCCCTGTCACTGCATATGCCAGGCAGAGCCCCTGAGCTTCACCAGACGTGGCCCAGGACACCAAAAGAAGCAGCTAGTAAGCCAGGCTGCTGAATTCCACATTGGGGGCACGCCCTCCCGAGCCTGGGGGTTAGTCTCGCTGCGCCTCCAGGGCTGCTGGGTTCTGAGCCCCCTGAGCTTTGCTCCCAGGCCACGGGAGGGGGAGGGCTGCTGCAGAGACGGCAGTGAGAACTGCAACGCTGACCCTGCCAGAGCAGTTCCCGGCACCCGCCGCCCTCCTCAGCACCGAGCACTGCCCCGTGAGGCTCCGATCCGGGAACCGCAGCCACTGGCTGCCGCCGACGGGGAAGGCGTCTGCTGAATTCTCTTGCTCTGCCTGTTGAGGATGAGTCTGAGCTGGTCGCTTTCCCGGAACACCCTTCCTTCGCCTCTGCGCGTGTGTTTGGCATCCCCAGACTCCCATTTTCCCTAGCTCTGGCTCTCGAATTTTGCCGACTTGTGTTGCTTTTCACTTGGGTGGTTTCTGCCTTCTTTGGGTAGCTGTTACCCGTTGCTTTGACTGATGGAAAGTGCATCCCCCTGAAGTCCATGCTTAGGGTACTGCATGTTGTGAAGAAGTGTTTCCTGTGTGTTTCGCAGGTTTGACTGGGCTTCTCTCGCTTGTTCAAGACGGTTTGTTTTCCTTTTCCAGTAGATTCTCCTCGTCTCAAGGTTTGTCTAGTCGCTGACTTTGTAGCCACACAGATCTTCAGCTCTCCCTATCAGCCCTCAGGAACAAAAGCACTGTGCGTTGGTTTCTTGCTTATCCCATTTTTCCTACCTCCATATAAGCTCTAGTATCACATTGTTCTGCATCGTTCCTGACTGGGCCTGCCAGCTTGTCTCTACCTGCCATTCTCACGTCCCTTGAGTGAAGAAGCAAATGCCACTGTAGTCAGGCCCCCTACGACATTTCTGGTGACCAGATGATGGGCACGGGTGGGGGGGCGGGACGGGGTCTATTCCCTCCCTCCCCCTCCCCCCAGGCAGTTCGCAGTGAGCAGCTGGTTGAGGCTTACCTTTGTTCTGACTTGTCCTCTCTGTGATAGCATCAGATCCCGCAGGCTAGTTAAGTCCCCAAGACCCCCCACCCCTCCCTCCCTCCCTCCCTCCCCCCCTCCCCCTGCACATGCGGGTCAGAAGTGGTTTCCTCACTGCGCCCTGAGCTCAGAGTTAGCCTCCCGCACGGCCCTCCTCAGGGGTGCCGTTTACTAGGCGGTGTGGAGGGGCTGGGTGCAGGGTGCGCGCCACCCTCCAGGAACCCCTGGGGACCCGGCAGGTCCTTCCCCTACTGTTCGGCCTTCCCGAGGAGAGGAGCGCGCTAAAGCCCACCCTGGTCGCTGCTTCCTGTGGTGTGGCTTGGGGCCGGGGTCCAGCTCCTGGCCTTGAAGCTTTCTTTCCCAGCCTGGGACACGAGGTGCGTGTGGCGCTTGTAGTCCTGTCTCGGGGGTCCGTGGGGCTAGTTTCCTCCCTGGGTGGGTTCTGACAAGACTCTGTCTGCTCCTGTGTTTCTTCCTCAGTTTCCAGGGTTCTCTCCTCGTGGGTGTTGCGCCGTTTCGAGGTGCTCTCAGTAGGGCTGCCTGCCCTTGGGGTTTGGGTTCTTTTTTTCTTTTTTTTTTCCTTTTTGGGTCACACCCAGTGATGCATAGGGGTTCCTCCTGGCTCATGCACTCAGGAATTACTCCTGGCGGTGCTTGGGGGACCATATGGGATGCTGGGAATGGAACCCAGGTTGGCCGCGTTCAAGGCCAACACCCTACCTGCTGTGCTATGGTTCCAGCCCCAGGGTTTGGTTTTTTGAGTTTTTTTGTAACATCTGGAACATTTTTCATCTCTCGTCCATCCTCTCTGCAGGACTTTGTGGGGACTCCGTTGTTTGTACCTGTCCTGGGCTTGCATCACCTCCGGTGTAATTCACAGTCCTTGTGTGTCTGCTCGCAGGGGCTGTGGCCGGTGCTTTTGCTCCAGACCCCGGCTGCTTCCTGGCCTCTACCCCTCCTGGGACTCGCGTCAGTGGGTTTTGATGATGGACGGCGGGTCCCTTTGGGCCAGGGTGATGTGGGTAAGGTAGGAGCCCAGTCGCAAGAAGGGAGGCGCCGGGTCCTTCTAACTGGCAACGCCAGAACCACCCAGGCTCGGAAGCTTCCTGCTAGCTGACTAGCTGCTTGTGTTCCTGTGCGCGGGGGATTTCTCCTGGTGGCGGGCCACTGTGTCACGCCTCGGGGCCTGTTCCTGCCCCCTCCCCCTCGAGCGGGCCCCAGAAGGGCCATCTGCATTTCACTAACTAATAAGGAAGAGAACAGGTTTGTTGGGAGCCATAAGCAAAAATAATGATTTTTCTATTTGTAGAAACTTCTACTTTGATCTTGTATAGAATTTGTGTTTTGTGGATTTTTTTCCCTAGATGTTGCTTGTTTTAAGGTATTTTTTATTTTGAAAATTTATAGTTCATAGGGAAATGGTGGTTTGTTTTTGTTTTAATGGAAAAATTCGTAAAGGCTTGTTCTACGGTTCCTTGAAGTGCTGATGTTTGGGTGACAACCAGATACGAACTAGGTATTTCCTTACCATGTGCTGTTGCTTTCTTTGTGGTGGGCTCGTGGACATGCTGAATTCCTTCCTTGCTGTGAATTTTTGTTCATTATGAAATGATGAAGTGTGTTTGCTTGCTGCTGTTCTCTAATGAGCCATTTATAGCATTAAACTTCTGTTTTTCTCAGATAGTTTTCATCAGTTTGCTTTGGTTATTTTAGCGTTTTGGGTCATACCCGGTGATGCTCAGGGCCGACTCCGGGCTCTGCGTTCAGGGGTCACTCCTGGTGGTGCCCAGGGGACCCGGTGGGATGCCGGGGATCAAACCCGGGTTGGCCTAGCGCAAGGCAAATGCGATATCGCTCTGGCCCATTTGTTCTTAAGGAGCATGTACATTTGGTCAAATGCTGCGATTCGGTTTCTCTGTTGGGCTCTTGGGTCAGGTTCTTTACGATTTTTGCTTTGTGCTGGGTGGAGCATTGACGGGCTTGGTTCTGAAAGCTCCGATAAGAAATCGAGCCTGTGTTTAGGCGGAGTTGAAACTGGTCATCGGACAGGGCATGAGAGTGACTGGACAAGGCCTGGTGGGGAGGAAGTTGTGTGCACTCCTGTGGAGGTTAGCCGTGAGGGAAAGACACAACACTCACAGCGTCTCAGTCCTAGGGAAGTCTCGAAACCCGGGTCAGGCTGGTGGGTGTGAGAGTCAGGGGGGGCGTGTTTAAACCTTTTGGGCCATACCTAGTGATGCTGAGGGGTTCCTCCTGGCTCTGCACTCAGGAATCACTCTTGGCGGGGCTCGGGGGACCCTCTGGGATGCCGGGGATCGAACCCGGCCACATGCAAGGCACACACCCTCCCCTGCTGCCCTATTGCTCTGGCCCCTAACGCTTAGGAGCCCTGCTGATAACTGTGTGGCAGTGACTCTCTGCATGGATTCTGATTCTGTGGTAGGCAGATAGAAAACCAGTAGCTAAACGGATCCGCAAGGAACATTCCTTGATCTGATTCCGTTCTTGGTTCCGTGTTCAGTGCGTCTTAGATCCACGTTGGGACAGTCATGTCCTCGCTTTGGTTCCTTGTGTATCGGGAGCCGAGGTTTCCATGGCAGGCACCTGGCGGGGACTGTCACTGTATAGGGTCCCCCAGGCACCGCTGGGTGTGGCCGAAAGATGTTGCAAGCTTTGTTCAGTAGGGTGCTGTGTTTGAGCACGGCCCGAGTTCAAGTCTGTTCATGATACCGCCTGGTGGTCGGAAATCGGGAGTATTTGCGGAGTGCGGGCTACTCTATTTGGACTGGTTTTAGTCGGGTTGGATTTCGAGAGCATTAAGCAGGGCTGAAATTACTGGCAGTAAAGAATAATTGTCGGGAGTTTTCGCTTCCCCCTTGGGGCCATTTGTTTGAGTTCCCTGGGTGTTTCTCGTCATCCGGTAGGTGAATCTTCCTTCTTATTTTCTCCCCTCAGGCCCTCGTAAAAGATTGATTTGAAGGGGTGTGACTGGCGGCTCTTGACTCGATGAGTTTCCACCGAAATGTCGGAGAAGTCAGGCCAGAGCACGAAAGCAAAGGACGGGAAGAAGTATGCGACACTCAGTTTATTTAATACGTACAAGGGGAAGTCGCTGGAGACCCAGAAGACCACAGGTGAGTAGATGCGGGTCACAGGTGGCAGCTGGCGCTTCTGGGGCTTTGCTAGGGGGTCACCGCGGCTGGAAATGGGGCAGATCTGTGATCAAACCAGCGCTTGTCACTGCACCAGGCTTGCATCCTGTCTGTCCGCGGGGGCGGGGTGGCCCTTGGGCGGCCCGTAGATGCCTCCTCTGCTCATCTGCCGTTCCCGGCCAGCAGCAAGCCTTGGACGTGTGCGCGTTATTCGGGAGACCCGCCGTCCTGCTGGCCCAAGGTCCTTTGAATTGCTTTACCCCAAGAAATGGGTAGAAACATGTTTCCGCGGGGCGAGCGGAGCCCCTCTGGCCGGGCCCCTCTGGTCTTTTATGTCAGGGAGGCCGTGTTGCTCAGGGGGTAGTGCCAGCTGACCCACGCCCTGGCCACTCGACTGAGAGCCTGGGCATTTGCCTGGTACGTGCAAGACTCTTGAGTCTGACCCCCAGCACCACCAAAATTTATGCGCATGGTTTTGGTTATTTTTTGTTTGTTTGTTTGTTTGTTTGAGATAGGCTCCCTAAGAAAATTATAGAACTAGTGTTATTGACGTTTTCTTTCTCCAAGGGCTTTGCGATCACACCCAGTGGTGGGCGAGGCTCGGAGGGGCCGGGTCAGACCGGGCCTCCCGAGTGTAGAGCGGGCCCTCGGCCTTGTCTTTTCTCTCCTGACCTACGTGCTGGCCTGCTGGCGTTTCTTGTGGGGTTGTCAGGCCATACCCTGTGGTGCTTAGGGACCCGGAGACTGTGCCTTGCCCAGGATGAGATGTGGACCCCTGCATGGGTAGTGCACCTGCCCAGACCCTGTGCCCACCCATAGTCGGTTTCATCAAGTTCTGACAGTGGGTTCGAGCACAGGGCTCTTGACTGAGCTCACGGCACTTTCTTTTTTCTTTTTGGGTCACACACAGCAATGCTCAGGGTTGCTCCTGGCTCTGCACTTAGGAATCCCTCCTGGCGGTGCTCGGGGGACCCTATAGGATGCCCGGGATTGAACCCTGGTCGGCCACTTGCAAGGCAAATGCCCTCCCCGCTGTGCTATCGCTCCAGCCCCCTCAAGTCACTTTTCCTGAAACATTTTCCTGGAGAGTGGCTGGGGGGCTTCGGGGCTGCTTCCTGTCGCTCTGTATGTCGGAAGGTCCCCGTTAACGCCACTGATGTTCAGTTGCAGCTCGCCATGGACTGCAGAGTCTTGGGAAAGTGGGTATCTCGCGGCGAATGCCTCCCCCCGCCAACCTGCCCAGCCTCAAAGCAGAGAACAAAGGCAACGACCCCAACGTGAACATTGTCCCCAAAGATGGCACTGGCTGGGCATCAAAGCAGGAGCAGCATGAAGAGGAAAAGTGAGTCCATCGCTGAGGAAAACCCTTTCCTCTCTTCGTTGGGAACGTGGGGCGGAGGGCCGTGGGGGTGTCTGTGAGGGCTGAGGGGCTGTGGGGGGTGACTGTCAGGTTGAGGGGCTGTCAGGGCTGAGGGTTGTGCTGAGGGGTGAGTGTCGGTCTCAGCTCACCTTCTTGATGCACGTACTGACTGACTTTGGTTCCTTCCCTTGTCCGGGTTGGCGTGGGTGTTCCCGCACGGCAGGTGGGGGCTCCCGTTGGCTGCTGCCAGGCTCCAGTTCAGTGCCCGGCCCGGCGTCCTGCTCGTGCATTGGGGTCGCTTCTGTGGTGTGAGAATCTCTTCACCTACTTCACGCGAGCTGAACCTCATATATTGTTTTGTTTGGGGGGCCCTGCCACAGGGTTGGTGCCTAGGTGTCCCTCCTAGTGGTGGGGGGGGACACAGTGCAATATTGGGGATCAGTCCCAGACATCGTGTGCATGGAACACGTGCTCCAGCCCCTGTCTGAGCTACTCCCTTTGCTCTAATGCATCTTTTTAGAAGATTTGTTTTTAAAGGGGCTGGAGCGATAGCTCAGCAGGTAGGGCGTTGGCCTTGCACGACCTGGGTTCGATTCCCAGCATCCCATATGGTCCCCTGAGCACCGCTAGGAGTAATTCCTGAGTGCAGAGCCAGGAACATTGCACAGCCCTGTGCATTGCCGGGTGTGGTCCAAAAAGTTAAAAAAAAAATCTTTTTTTTTTTTTTTTAAGAATTATTTGTTCTGGGGTTGGGGGGGGGGGTTCAGCGACTTCAAAGGTGACTCATGGCTCTGCATTTGGGAATCAGGTGCTCAGGGGACCATCTGAATGGCCAGGGATCAAGCCTGCTATGAGCAAGGCAGGCGCCCACTGTACTGTCTCTCGTAAGATTCATGCAGGAAAAGAAATTGCGGCGAAGCTGGGGTGGGAGAGATAATAGATAATTAATGGCCCCTCAGCCATTGTCCAGCAAACCTTTGGACTTCGGAGTCCCAGGGAACATGCGAACCTGGTTATAATCTAATGAGTTTCTTAGGTATGGGCCTTTTTTTTTTTTTTTTTTTTCTTTTTGGGTCCCACCCGGCGATGCTCAGGGGCTCCTCCTGGCTCTGCACTCAGGAATTACTCCTGGCAGTGCTTGGGGGACCCTATGGGATGCCAGGAATCGAACCCGGGTCGGCCGCATGCCAGGCAAACCCCCTCTCTGCTGTGCTATCGCCCCAGCCCAGGGCATCTGTTTCCTAATGGACGATTCTACTGCAGCACTGAAGGTTTTTGGTTTTTCTTTCTTTTTTTTTTTTTTTTTTTTTTTTTTTTTGCTTTTTGGATCACAGCCAGCGATGCTCAGGGCTGATTCCTGGCTCTGTACTCGGGAATCACTCCTGGGGCTGGAGCGATAGCACAGCGGTAGGGCGTTTGCCTTACAAGCGGCCAACATGGCCGACCCGAGTTCAATTCCTCCGCCCCTCTCGGAGAGCCCGGCAAGCTACCGAGAGTATTCGATATGCCAGACACAGTAACAACAAAGTCTCCAATGGAGACGTTACTGGGCCCGCTCGAGCAAATCGACGATCAACGGGAGGGCCTTTACCTTACCTTTACCTTACTCCTGGTGGTGCTCGGGGGACCCTATGGGATGCTGGGAATTGAACCTGGGTTGGCCGCGTGCAAGTGCTCCAGCCCGGTATGGGCAATTTTAAAGATGAGTTAGGCAGTTGGGTGCTGACTGCCTAACTTTCTGCCTATCATCGTCAACTAAATGATACTTTTGACCTATTATTTATTGTCAAATTCTCGACTCCTATTTGGGAACGTTACTTAGAAAATTTGACTGTCGAAAGCTTAGCAAGCCCTGTTTCTTCTGCTTCTTAGTTATGGAATTATGTTGTGGTAATAAGTGATCTCAGTGTACGAGTCTGTTAACTGCCCTTTTTCATTCTGAAGCGTTAGTCCATTCCGAGCATTGAGTAAAAGTGTTGATCTTTTTAAAAGGCCCCTTCACTCATGGGACAGCACGGGGCGTGTCATTATTGTCTTTTTGCCTAACCGTAAGCAGTGCAGCGTAACTCCTGGTTGCCGGGGGTTTGGGGGGTCCCAGAGCCGTGGCCTTGCTGCCTCGGGTCCAGACTGTGTGTGTGCCCTGCCCCAGTTCGGGTGGTCTCGGGGGCTTGTACACGCAGCTCCGCATTCTGCCGTGACCCCTAGTTTGTTATTTCTAAGGAGGAATTTTTGCCTTTTCAGACAGATTTTTTGATCACTAAATTCACTGATTTCCCCTCCCCCCCCAAATGAAAACAAGTAAAGCTGTCTAGCTGCCGTCTTGGGTCATTCGGTGGTAAAATGAAAGGGGCCAGAAATAGCGCTAATGAATCGGAAGGAATGTTGCAGAGGGAAAGAGTCTTGGAGGCCACGGCTGCACCCGCAATGATTCGCAGGTTTGCCTCTTGCTAGGGTGTCTCTGTAAGTGTGCAATGTCTGACATAATGGATTCGTGTTTTTTTAAAGAACACCAGAAGCTCCACCAGCACAGCCAAAACCCGGGGCTCCAGCGCCCCCAGAAGTAGCACCTGCTCCCAAATCCTGGGCCAGTAACAAGCAAGGTGGGCAAGGCGATGGTAAGTGGACGTTAGCTGGGGGGGTGGTCGGGCCTGGTGGTCACTGAGCAGCCATGCAGGAGATGGGGTGGGGCTGGGCGTGGCCCGGGGCCGTTTTCCAGGCCCTAGTCAGAGGTTTGAGGAATTCCCTGGGTGAAATCATTCTGTCGGAACCCACGCCCTGTGGATGTGCATTGACAGGGGCCTCCGAAGGAAGCCTTGAGACCCTCTGCCACCCTCAATTCTCATTCTGGGAGCTTTGCAATAGCTCCTGGAGGCGTCTGTCTTGGTGCTGAGGGCCAGACACCATATTCTCCCCATCAGTGCCCGACTTCCTCAGCCGGACTCTCCTAGGAGGGAAGAGACTTTGTCCCGACAGAGCCTACGGCCGAGGCACCCTCGCGAGATTTCATTTTCCCACTTGAGAAGTAGAAAATTGTAAAACGTTCTACGGGGATGCCCACCCATGCCCTCAGACTGATAAAAGCAGCTGTTTTACTGTCGAGAAGTGGCTGGCAGGCAGGCAGGGGGACGGGGTAAGGGGTGAGCAGTGAGGTACAGTCTGAGCAGTTAAGCTGAAGGAAGGGCTCTCAGCCTCCCCGGTCCTTGCTGTAGGCGTTCATGAACGCTGTGCCTGATAAAGTTGAATTTGGTGCTACGGGGAGTGTGAGATTTCAGACAAAGAAGCATGTCGAGGGGCCGGAGCGATAGCACAGCGGGGAGGGTGTTGATCTGGCATGTGGCCGACCCGGCGTCGATTCCCAGCATCCCCTAGGGTCCCCCAAGGCCCACCAGGAGTGATTCCTGAGCACAGAGCCAGGAGGAACCCCTGCGCATCGCCGGGTGGGACCCAACAAGAAAAAAATCACTAAATAAGGGAGCCTGTGGAAGGCCCGCACCTGCCGTTTCTGGCAGAAGCTCTAGTAGCTGGTCTCTCCTCATGGCTGTTCAGTAACTCTCCGAGAGACGGACTTGGGAAATGAGTGATGGACACGAGTAGTCATTGGAATGTGAACCAAATTTTCAGGCCGAGGAGAGACCCCTGTTCTGGGAGGGCTGTTGGCGTTCTCTTCCGCAGAAGTGTCATGGCATTTCTGTTTTCCAAAATCGACCCCGTAGGCATCCAGGTGAACAGCCACTTTCAGCAAGAATTCCCCAGCCTCCAGGCAGCCGGGGACCAGGAGAAGAAAGAGAAAGACGCGAGCGACGACAGCTATGGGCCTGGCCCCAGCCTGCGGCCTCCAAGTAAGCGTGTGTCCTGGGGGCCGTGCCCGGCTGGGGCCCACCCGCAGCACCCGGGAACTTGGGCAGACTGGCCCGCCCCGCCTTAACCCCTGCCGGCCTGCGCCCAGGTGGCCGCTTCCTATTGCACGTTAATATTGTTGTTGTTTTTAATGATAGTCTACTCTGAGGGTATGGCTTTTGGTTTGCGTCAGCTGCAGATGCTCTCGGGGGCCGTTTGGGCAGTGAGGGGGATAGTGCCTGCCGAGAGGCCAGGGTCTGGGTGGGCGAGGACTCGCTCGGTGGGGAGCAGTGCTCGCGGCAGACCTTCCCATCAGAGTGAGTCGCTGGGGTTTCCCCGCGGTCTGCCCGCTGCTTCCGATTTCCCCTTATCTGCTGCTGCAAAGCAAGTTGGACCGGACGGACTGGGGTTTCTTGGAGGGTATCCCGGGGTCAGACGTGTCACCGGTGCAAGGAGGCCTGCTGGGCTGCCTCTGAGCTCCCTGCAGGGCCCGGGGCTGAGTCCCCGGGAGAAAGTCGGGAAGGGCAGGTGCCCGGTCACCGTCGACCTGTTGGTCCCGCGTGCTTCCCCAGTGACACGAAGTCCTTTCCCGGGCCCGTGTCTGCTGCGCGGCAACCTTGAGGACACCCTAGACTAGCCTCGGTGTCTTCCGGAAAGGGCCTGGTGTCCTGGTTGCCCCCCACCCCACGCTTTCTCTCCCTTCCCCTCCTCTGACTCTGTCTCTGGCACCAGATGTCTCCTGCTGGCGAGACGGCGGGAAGGCCGCTGGCTCGGCGTCTGACCAAGAGGAAAAAGCCCCCGGCTCGGAGGAGAGCCCCGCCGCGAGCTCGGAGCAGAGCGACATCCTGCGCGTGGTGGAGAAGCGCATCGCCTGCGGGCCCCCACAGGCCAAGCTCAATGGCCAGCAAGGCCTGGGCGCCCGCGCCGGGATGCCGCCCTACGGGAACCTGGTGAGCGGGGACGGCGACTTCGCCCGGATCTCTCAGGAAGAGGCGGAGGGGTGTGGGGTCTGCAGGGAGGCGTCGCAAAAGCGTTTTCTCGGTTAGGGATGCAGAAAGTGACCCGTGATCCCAGCCCATTGCGTTTAGTAGAGGTCACTTGATCACTTGACTTCCCGTTAATCGGCGATTTGCTCGAGCGGGCGCCAGTAACCTCTCCATTTGTCCCTGGAGAGGTCATGGTATATTTTAGGTACCACTGAGTCCTATTTATACTCCTCCCCTGGATGGACCCCTGCAGAGAGGAGTGCTCTTCTGTCTTCTCCCGGCTGTCCTCTGGGCTCTCCTTTCTCCTCTTTGGACCTCTCCGTTCTCTCGTGACCTTATAAGGACACTGCACGCTAGGTCACGGACTCGCTTTTGAAATTGCCGGTGGAGCTGTGAGGGGAACTATTGTCCCTGGTTACCCCTCTGTGTTCGAGGCGGTGCCTTCAGGAGCGTCTGTCAGAGACCCTTTTTTGCTTTTTGGGTCACACCCAGCAATGCTCAGGGGTTACTCCTGGCTCATGCACTCAGGAATTGCTCCTGGCGGTGCTCGGGGGACCATATGGGATGCTGGGAATTGAACCTGTGTCGGTCATGTTGGCTGCGTGCAAGGCAAACGCCCTACCCGCTGTGCTATCACTCCAGCCCCGCAGCTGATACTTTTTAAGCACACAGGAAATCAAAACATCGGTCTGGTGGGCCAGCTGTCCCCGGTCCTGCGTACCAGAATCCTCAGACGGTTCGTGCCAAATTGATCTCACTGCCTCCACCAGCTTGCACTGCTAAAGCAGTTCCCAGCACATTATTTCATCTGAGATATTTCAGGTCTGGGGAAAAGCTACAATGTGATTATTGTACCTGGGAGTAATTTTTTAAATAACTCCAGGTGTTTTTGTTTCATATTTGGGTCCCTTCCATTATGATCCGCCGATCTCTCTAGGACCTAGTTGATGTCAGCTGCTTCTCCGGTTCTTGTTTTCTTGGTGTTTACCTGTTACACTGGAACCGGGGAGTTTCTGGGCCTGAATTTAGCCAGTCCCACCACTAAGAGCTTCATGTCATGCCTCCTCCTGGCCCCTGTGTATTTTCTGTAAGTTGTGGTGGGTTGAGTGCCCTTTTTATTGTTCTCAACCCATTTGGAAATTATGCAGAGGACAGAGAAACGGATGTTTCTTGAGAGACCATTAGCTTTGTGTGAGCTGCTTGGTAGCTGGTGAAGCTGATCTTTCAGACAGCTTTCTGGGGGTCAGGGGTCAGTCTGAGACAGGTTGGGGATCAGGGGGCAGCTGAAGACAGGTAATTTTTTCTTTTTTCAGTTGGCCTTCTAATTGGGTCCCTTTTTGTTTTCTCCTTCAGATGTTCCAGCAATACCCGAAGATGGCGTACCCTCCTCTCCATGGTCCCATGAGGTTTCCGCCTTCTCTCTCTGACTCCAACAAGTAAGACCATTTAGCGCCGGGCGTCTGGGAGGCATGTGGAGGATGCTTATGGGGGGCGGGGGGCTGTTGCCACTGCCCCCCCTTAAGTTGGTATTTCTTGCCCATCATGAACCAGCGTCTCCTCCAGGGCCCTGGTTGTTCTTTTCTTTATTTAATTTATTGGATTTTTTTGGATTGTTTTTTGGGTCTCACCCGGCGATGCACAGGACTTACTCCTGGTTCATGCACTCAGGAATCACTCCTGGCGGTGCTCGGGGGACCATAAGGGATGCTGGGGATTGAACCTGGGTCGGCCGCATGCAAGGCAAACGCCCTCCCCGCTGTGCTATTGCTCCAGTCCCCAACCCTGGTTGTTCTTAAGTTAGTTTTTTTGTTCTTTTCAATGAAACATCTTGAGGTACAGTTGTAGACTTACAAGTTTTTGTGCTTGGGTCTCAGTTATACAATGATCAAGTACCCATCCCTTCACCAGTGCCCATTTTCCACCACCAGTGACCAGTGTCTCCAATATATCCCCCCCCGCCCCACCAGTCCTCCTGCCTCCAAGGCAGGCAGTTTCCCCATACTCGCTCTCTAGTTTGGGACATTATGATTTGCTGGAATTTTCCAACTACCATTCATGCCTGCCCGGCATGGTCTTTCTTACCCTAAAGCGTTGAGGATGAATCTATGTCGGCTGCTAGCCACGCCAGGATTCCGTGAAGTCTCACGGTTACGTGTCCGTGAATTCGAGTCCCCGCCCCAAGGCACTTGCTGTCACTGCGTAGGAGCCCTGACATCCAGTCCCTCTCTGAAGTCCTTTCCCTTCCGCTTTCCCCGTCAGAGGCATTCGGGGCCGGGGCCCGCCCCCGTCCTGGGCCGCGGAGCCGGAGCGCCCGTCCATCCTCAGCGCCTCGGAGCTCAAAGAGCTGGACAAGTTCGACAACCTGGACGCCGAGGCCGACGAGGGCTGGGCAGGTAAGGGTGGGTTCCCTGGGAGCGAGCCACTCGCAGAGGCGTCCGGGCGGCGTCTGAGCGGTCTGCTTGTCTGGCAGGGGCGCAGATGGAGGTGGATTACACGGAGCAGCTGAATTTCAGCGACGACGACGAGCAGGGCAGTAGCAGCCCGAAGGAGAGCGGCAGGTGGGTGGCTGGCCGAGGCTCTTGGCGATGGGGGGAGGGCAGGCTAGACTTGGGGTGCCGGCACCTCATGGGAGACGGGGGGAGGACACGGAGCCCCATGCCCGGCCTGGCCTGTGTTGGCAGCACTGGGCGGTGTGACTGAGTCACTGATTCTGCCAGTCCTTTTGTTCTTTTTGTTTGTTTTGTTTTTTCTTTTTGGGTCGCACCCGGCGATGCACAGGGGTTCCTCCTGGCGCTGCACTCAGGTATTACTCCTGGCGGTGCTCAGGGAACCATGAGGGATGCTGGGAATCGAACCCGGGTTGGCCGCGTGCAGGGCAAACGCCCTCCCCGCTGTGCTATCGCTCCAGCTCGCCAGTCCTTTAGTTCACTGTGATTCATGCTGGCCGCACTATGGGGCCTGTAAGTGGAAACCCAGGCCCCACGGTGGGGCTTGGACACGCTTGTGACTCTGTGGTGCCCATCTTGGCCGCTGCTCTGAACTGCGGTTTTCTGTGGCTTTTCAGTACTGTTCTTGGAGGGGTTTTTGGTTTGTTTCTTTTTTTTTTTCCGGAGGGGTCACACCCGGCGGTGCTCAGGGCTGACTCCTGGCGGGTTCGGTGCCGGGGATTGAACCCGGGTCAGCCCAAGGAAGAAACACTTCCCCGCTGTGCTGTGCCTCCAGTTCCCGGCTCTTGTATCGGAGCAGAATGACGCGGGACAGAGTCTTCTGTTGCTCCTGCTGTTGCCCCATTGTGTGTGGCTGAGACCCTTAGGCTTCTGGAGGGTGGGGGGCTACAGGCAGTGCTCGGGCTCCCGGGGGCCATGCCCCCCTGCCCCTGCGCTAGGGCTGGGGTGATAGAAATCGTGGGCTTCTAGTGGTCGGAAGCCTGCTTGTCCAACATGCAGTTCGTATGAGACAGTTGGGTGCTGAGTTGTGTCTTGGGCCCTGCGGGGATTGTTCACCGGGCAGCTTCCCCCGCACCTTACACAGCCACACAGGTGCCGAGGGAACAGCTCACCGAGCAGTCAGCATGTGTTCTGGGCCTCGGTCCCGTTTGTCCTGGTGAAGGCCTAAGAAAATAATGTCTCCTACAAAGCTTTCATCTTCGAGATTCCGCCGTACAGTGATCGAACACCCGTCCCTCTCCATCCGTGCACGCTTTCCACATTCTTACTTCCCCGATTTTGATTTCTTCAGCGAGGATCAAGTTCCAAAAGCCGAAGAAAGCAACGAAAACCGCAAAGAGACGGATGATGCCGGCAGCGCGAAGTCAACGCAGGCACCCGCCCAGCCTTCGGCGACCAAGGCGCCCTACGGGAAAGGCCCCGCTTTCACTCAGGTGGGTTGGACACTAGTGGACTCACCTGCGATCCACCACGTTGGAGGGCAGCTTAGAAAAAGCCACCAGTTGGGGGCAGGGCGCTCGGGAGGGTTTTTCCTGGGTGATGCCGAATCTGAACCAGGTTTATTGTGTATCCGTAAATCATCCAGACAATAGCCGGTGTTATCAGATAGAATCTAAAATGAGCCTTTTTCAAAAAAGTTCTGTTGAATCTCCCCCAGCCCCCACCCCCTTTTTGGGCCACACCCGGTGATGCTCGGGGGTTCCTCCTGGTTCTGCACTAAGGAATCACTCCTGGCGGTCCTCAGGGGACCATATGGGATGCCGGAGATTGGGGGGTTGAGCCTGGGTCGCAGGGTGCAAGGCAAACGTCTCCTGCTGTGCTCTGGCTCCACCCCCCCCTTTTTTTTTCTGTTACAGTAGCTTGGTCATTCATACCAAAGTGAAAAGAGAAATTATTAGATACTGTATCATACGGTCTCTGTTATTCTCTATCATATGTGAAGAGTTGTGTGTTCTGAGTAGAGGTCACACCTCAGCGTTGAGAAAGGAAAGGATCCATCTGACCCTTTGTTAGGGTGGAAGACAGGTGTCCTCGATCCTGGTCAGAAGTCAGGGAGTGTGGTGTCCCTTGAGGGGCCAGTCCACTCAGCCGAGGGTGCTTGGCCTTAGTCGTCGAGTTCGTGGGAGGGAGGGACAGGGGGACATGGTCGGCCAAGGTATGGAAAAGCGTGGTGCATTCAAATCTGTACGAGTTTGGGAGTTTATGGGTGGAGGGCTGTTTTTGGGCCACACCCAGCTGTGCTCCTGGTGGGCTTCAGGAAACCGTACAGGGTGCCAGGGGTTGTGTGCAGGCCAGCACCTACCCCCGGACGGTCCCTCTGGCCCTGTCAAGGCTTGCGGTGGTTTTGAAATGGGACAGGATTGGGTCGGGGTTGTGTCGGGTCGGGGGGCGCTGGCTTGCCGCTGCAGGAGACGCCTTGTACGTTCTGACATATTTTTCTAACAGTATTTATATAAAACCGGAATAAAGGGGGATTGCTAGTTCTCCCCCTTATGAGAGAATAAAGGACTATCAAGACTCCTGATGTTTAGAAATTCTGCTGCGCCCAAAGCTCATTTGCGATTCTGTCGTGACAAAACCGAAGGGATCGTTTTGTAGGCCACAGAGCTACTCTGTAGTAGGGGATGCGATTTATTAAGAGAGAAAAGAACAAAGATTTTGCTTTCTGTAACCTGGAGTTCCAGCAGTCAGGGCTTCTGGAAATGTTTCTCGTTGATCGGATCTGATGGTTTAGTAACTGCTTTTCCTGTAACAGGAGCGGGGACCGTCTTCACACCTGCCTCCGCCTCCGAAGTTGCTGGCACAGCAGGTACGCCACATCGTGGGTTCGGGGGGTGTGGGGGAGAAGGGGCTGCCACGCCCAGCTCTGCTCAGGGCACCATGTGGTACAGGTTGGGATCAAACCGGGCACGCAACATGCGCTGACCCACCCCGTTTCGTGCCGTCTTTGCAGCCCAGCCTGGCTCTGATGGGCAGCCTGGAAGTCTGTTCCTAAGGTCTTGACTCCTCTGCCCTTTCCTGGCTTGATGTTCTGTTTTGGCTTTTTGGGCCACACCTCCTAGTGGCCAGGGCTCTCTGCGCTCAGGAGTGACTCCTGGCCGTACTCAGGGGACCGCGTAGGATGCTGGGGCTCGAGCCCCGGTCGGCCGTGTGCAAGTCAAACACCCTCCCCTGCTGTGCTGTCGCTCCAGCCCAGATTGGTCTCCTTGTTTCTGTTTGTCCTGGCACTTGTCCTGTTTCTTCCCATCTTCCAAGACGGAGCCTTCCTTGATTCCTATTTCTCTGTTCTCCGTCCTGTGACTCAGCTATTCAAGACCACCAATGCCTAGGTGGAGACTCTGGCCTGCCCACCTTTAGCTGTTAGGTTCGTGATGTCAAGAGGAGACGCAGTGGCAGGGTCCATCCACGGGGAGGGCGTGCGAGCCCGCGTGCTGGAGCCGGCACAAAGCTTTCATTGTGAACACGGGTCACTCCCGAGGACACATCTCTGGGCTCGTTGGGACAGAGGTCTCGGACCGCCGGTAGCGAGGCCTGCCAGCGTATTTCCCTGGTCGCTGGCGTGCGGGGGAGGAAGGTGCTCCAGACCTTGGGCAGCGGGGCTGTGCCTTGTCCCCTTGGTTCCTGTGCAGGGTTTCTGCTCCTTAAAGGGGGTTTGGCCGCCTGTCCCTGGCTCTTGGCTTTTCCCTGTGACTGCATCTCCATTTCCTCGGGCCCCTGTGTTGCCTTGGAAACCGGTGGATCTCTCTTCACCCGCCGCCACCGCCTTCCTGCCTGAATCTCCTGTGTTAACATGGTTCTGTTGAGAAAGTTGACAGTCATTGTTCTGACCCGAGCCCAGGCCGGCAGTAAGGCCCAGCACGGTACACAGATGCGTGCTCAGTGAAGATTAGGGGACCTTTGGTTCGGGGGATCCTCTAGGCAGGAGTGTGTCCCGCCTGTCTAACGTGGCTGTGACTGCCATGCCGGGTTTGGGCCAGAGCCGGCGGCGGGAGGCTCCTCCCTGTCCGCGTCCGGGTCTCCTTGCGGGCCGGGGAGGGGGCGCAGGTCTCTCGGACTCCCTGACCGTTCGCCGTCCCGTTTCAGCACCCTCCCCCGCCAGACCGGCAGGCCGGCCCTGGGCGACCGGGCCCCTTGCCCCCCCGGCAGCCGGTCCCCGACGAGGACGAGATCTGGAAGCAGCGGAGGAGGCAGCAGTCGGAGCTGTCGGCCGCCGTGGAGCGCGCTCGGAAGCGCCGCGAGGAGGAGGAGCGGAGGATGGAGGAGCAGAGGAAGGCGGCGTGTGCCGAGAAGCTGAAGCGGCTGGACGAGAAGCTGGGCATCGTGGACAGGCAGCAGCAGCAGCAGCAGCCGCCGCCCCCACCCCCGCCGCCCCCGCCCCCGCCGCCTCCGGAGGGGCCCCGAGACAGGGAGCCCGAGAGGCAGCGGGAGAAGGAGGAGCAGCTCGAGAAGGAGCCGGAGAAGCCCCGGGAGGCAGAGAAGGAGAAGAGGCAAGAGAAGGAGAAGGAGCTGGAGCAGCCGCCGGACCAGGAGAAGGAGCCGCCGAAGCCCAAAGACCCGGAGAAGGAGGCGGAGCCGGAGAGGGACAGGGACGGGGACCAGGCGCAGGAGAAGACGGAGCCCGAGGAGCCGCCCGCAGAGCCTGCGGCGGAGAAACCCGAAAGTGACGGCAGCGCCAAGAAAGGTAGCGTGTCTTGGCATGCGTTGGTTTTGAGCGGTACTGGGGGTTTTGGTTTGGTTTGGTTGGTTTGTGTGTTTTTGCTTTTTGGGTCACACCCGGCGATGCACAGGGGTTCCTCCCGGCTCTGCACTCCGGGATCATTCCTGGTGGTGCTCGGGGGACCCTAGGGGATGCCAGGGAGCGAATCCGGGTTGGCCGCGTGCCAGGCCAGCACCCTGTGAAGTGTGAAGTGAAGACACCCTCTTCCTTATCACCCATGAGCCTTCTTTGTCTTTGGGCAGAGGATGGCCCTGTTGTCGCCAGACAGGACAGTCGCGGAGAGAAGGAGACCCCGCCGGTGGCCCACGAGGCGGAACCGGAACCGGGGGCCCAGCCTCGGCCCGCTGTGCTGTCGGGTTACTTCAAACAGTTCCAGAAGTCGCTGCCGCCTCGCTTCCAGAGGCAGCAGGTAACGGCCCCTACCGTGTGCGTGGCGGGGTTGGGAGAGCCGGCGGGTGCCCGTCCACCCAGTGCCGACTCCCTGCAGCTTCTCACGCTGGCGGGTGGTTGGGTGTTTCCCGCCTTGATCGTGGCGTACTTGGTCCTGTAGCGTGCGGGGGGAGGGCTGCCCACTGTGCTCTTCCGCCGGTCTCCGTTTACCGAGGACTTGGGATCCTCTTTTTTCCTCCGCCTCATTTAGTCTCCATCTTCTTGTTTTGTTTTGGGCCACACCCGGCTGTGCTCAGGGCTTCCTCCTGCCTCTGCACTCGGGGATCACTCCTGGCGGTGCTTGGGGGACCCTAGGGGATGCCGGGGATCGAACCTGGGTCGGCTGTGTCTGAGTCATGCGCCGTCCCCGCTATGCTATTGTCCCGGCCCCTGTTCAGCCACGGACTTCCATTCCTCTTTTGCCTCAGCCTCGCTTAGTCTCCATCTTTTTGTTTTGTTCTGGGGTCACACCCTGGCTGCGCACTCACGAGTTACTCCTGGCAGTGCTCGGGGGACCCTTATGGGATGCCGGGAATCGAACCTGGTTGGCTATTGTCCGAGACAGGCGCCCTCCCTGCGGGGCTGTCGCTCCGGCCCCTCCATCTTGTGGGGAATTGAGCGGCTGCTTGCATGAGACATAAGGCAGCATGCCCTTAGTTCTTGGGTTTGTGGGTTTTTTTTTTTTCTTTTTGGGTCCCACCCGGCGATGCTCAGGGCTGACTCCTGGCTCTTCACTCAGGAATCACTCCTGGCTGTGCTCGGGGGACCCTATGGGATGCTGGGAATCGAACCCGGGTCGGCCGTGTGCATGGTCAACGCCCTCTCCTCTGTGCTGTCACTCCAGCCCCAGTCCTCCCTGGGTGGGGGGGGGGGCTGCTGACTGGCGTCCCGGGGCTGACCCTGGGCCCTTTTCACTTCTGCAGGAGCAGCTGAAGCAGCAGCAGCAGCGGCAGCAGCAGCAGGGGGTGCCCTCCCCGCCGTCGGGGGGCGCCGTGCCCCCGCCCACACACCGGCCCCTGTACCAGCCCATGCAGCCCCACCCCCCGCACCTGGCCTCCATGGGCTTCGACCCCCGGTGGCTCATGATGCAGTCGTACATGGACCCGCGGGTGATGTCCGGGAGGCCCGCCATGGACATGCCGCCCCTCCACCCCGGTGAGGCTCCGCTTCCTGCCCGGCTCCTCCCTCTGGGGCCCTCCCCCAAGTCCCTTGTTCTGCCGTTTGAATCTTACCCGTTGACCCCAGCGTTTCTGTCCTCCTCCGTTTCCCAGGGGACCTCCGGGCGGTTTTCTTTGAGGTTAGCTGAAGTCAAGTAGCTCCTCAGGCCCGAGGCAAGGGTTCGAGCCCCGAGCCACTCCCGCCCTACTTCATGCGCCCGCCCTTGTCCTTGCGTTGCAGGTATGATTCCGCAGAAGCCCTTGCTGCGCCGGGATCAGCTGGAAGGCGCGCCGGGCGGCTCCGAGTCCTTTGAACACATGGCTCGCTCAGCGCGGGACCGAGCCGTGTCGCTCTCGGAGGCGCGGGTGGCGTGGGGCGCTGAGCCCTACCCTCACGCCGAGACCCAGCCGGCCGCCGCCCCCAAGGCCCCGGAGGAAGCCCAGGAGGGAAGGTCAGTGACGGGGTGGGGGGGTCTGGGAGCGTCTGGTGGGCCGCTAGCCTTGGCGCATCTGGTGACACATTCTGCAGTGCTCGGGGCTCACTCCTGGCCGGGCTTGGGATCCCCTATGGGGTGTCGGGGATCAAACCCCGGTCAGAGGTGTGCAAGGCAGAGACCTGATGACAAAATCTGTCCCTCCCTCCCTTCTTTCCTTCCTCCCTTGCTTCTGGGCCGTCCCAGCAGTGCCCAGGGCCGCGTGTGGCTCTGAGCTCAGGGCCCGTTATGGTGTGCCTGGGCGCAAACCCGGATGGGCTTGCGGGCAAGGCCCTTTACCTGCCGTACTTCTCCAGAAAATGTCCCTTTTTCTTTTCTTTTTTTCTTTTCCTATTTTTTTGTTTTGTTTTTCAACTAAAGCAGGGAAAATCGGTTCATCCTTCAGAGACGATTTCCGCCTCCAGTGCAGTATCGATAACTATAAAGAAAGCATCGCACCTTCCCATTTTGTACAGTGGAAAATTTATGCCTCTTTTTGAGTTTTTTTTTTGGGGGGGGGTGGCGGGTCCATACCCAGCAGCGCTTGGGGTGCTGGGGCTTGAACCCGGGTTGGCTACACGCAAGGCAAGGAAGGACCCTCCCCCCAGACTGTCTCCCAGCCTCCCACCCTTTTGGGTTTTTTGTTTTCGTTTTTGTTTATTTGGAAACTCGCTGCCTCTTGAGTGGCAGCGCCATCTGTCCACCTCAGGGATGTTTTGTCCTGCTGTGTGTGTGACTCGGCCCTTGGCGTCCAGCACGCCTCTGTCCCCTTGGGTGGCTGATAGTCACGCGGGGTCTCTAGCCGCTCGAGTGTTGCTCAGCTGCGTTTAGATGCAGTGAACCGCACACACGGTTCCGAGCCAGCCCGGGTCTGTCACCAGGTCCGAGTGGAGGTTTGTGTGGTCGTGCTTGTCTCCCAGAGTCCAGCCGTTGCTCGCAGCGTGTCCACTCTCGGGGAGGGCGCAGCCTCTGGGAGCTGCTCCCTGGTGCTGGGTTTTGTTCTGCGTTGAACTGCGCGCGACCTGGGAAGGACTGTGCCCTGACGGTTCTGCTCTCCCCTTCCCCGTGACAGGCCTGAAGCTGCACCCGAGCAGGACCAGATGGCCGCGGCATACCCCGTTGCTCACGGGCAGGCGGAGGCCCCGCCGAAAGCCGAGGGTGCCCGCGAGCCCGGCCAGCCGCACGCCCCTGAGCCTGCTGGCAGAGCCGTGGAAGAGGCGCGGGCCCCCGTCGCCGAGCCCGCCGGCCCCGATGCAGCCGACCCCAAGGCGCTTCCCGCCCCCGAAGAGCGGGCCCCGGCCCCCGAGAGCCAGCCCACCCGCAAGAGGAGCGTTTCCCACGGGCCCAGCCCGGCGCAGCGGCCCGAGGAGCCACGCGGGGAGCTGCCAGCGGGCGCCCCCAAGGCCCCAGGCCGAGAGCCCACGGAGCGGCCGGACGAGAGGCCGAGGAAGGACGGCTACCCGCGAGCGGCCGAGGGCCCGAAGCCCGAGAAGCCGTACAAGCCCAAGGCGGAGACGCGCTGGGGCCCGCGGCCGGGTGCCAGCCGGCGGGACGAAGGCGGCGACAGGCCCGTGCGGCGCTCGGGGCCCATCAAGAAGCCGGTGCTGCGGGACATGAAGGAGGAGCGGGAGCAGCGTCGGGAGAAGGACGGGGAGCGGCCCGACAGGGGCCCGGAGAAGGCCGCCCGGCCCGAGAAGCCCGAGAGGAAGGAGCCGCTGCCCGCCGGCCCGCCTCCTGAGCCCGAGAAGGTGCCCGCTCCCGAGCCCGCCCCCGCCGCCCCCAAGCCCCCTCCGGAGCCCGAGAAGCCCCCGGAGACCCCGAGCACGGTTGAGGCCGAGCCTGCGGCCAAAAGCGGGAGCCAGCCGGCGGCCGCGGCCACGGCCACGGTCACGGCCACGGCGGCCAAGGAAGAGAAACCCGCCGAGAAAGCGGGCGGCAAGGAACCGACGGCAGAGCGGCTGCGGCCCGAGTCCCGGCCGGTGCTGCGGAAGGACGCGACGCTGCCCCCGCGCACCTACTGGAAGGACGCCCGCGACAGGGAGTGGTCCCCCGACCAGGGCTACCGGGGCCGCGGGCGCGGCGAGTACTACTCCAGGGGCCGCAGCTACCGGGGCTCCTACGGGGGCCGCGGCCGGGGGGGCCGGGGCCACCCCCGGGAGTTCCCCCCGTACCGCGACCACAAGCCCCGGCCCGAGCCCGGCCCCCCGGGCCCCCTGCGGCCGCGGGAGGAGAGCGAGACGCGCAGCGAGAGCTCCGACTTTGAGGTGGTCCCCAAGAGGCGGCGCCAGCGCGGGTCCGAGACGGACACGGACAGCGAGGTCCCCGAGAGCGCCAGCGACAGGGACAGCTCGGGCAAGGGCAAGGCGCCCCGCCGCGAGGAGCGGCCCGAGGGCCGGAAGCCCGCCAAGCCCCCGGCCGCCTTCAAGCCCGACGGCCACGCCCGCGTCGAGGGCCGGCCGCCCGACAAGCCCTTCCCTGGCGTGCGCGACGAGGACAAGGCCAAGCCCGGCTTCCTGCCCAAGGGGGAGCCCACGCGAAGGGGCCGCGGTGGCACCTTCCGGAGGGGCGGCCGCGACCCCACTGGCCGCCCCACGCGCCCGGGCCCCCTGCGCCGGCCCGCCTACCGCGATGGCCAGTGGACCCCCAGGCCGGCCGAGGGCCCGAAGCCGGAGGACGGGGACCCGCCCCGCCGGCACGAGCACTTCCTGCCCCTGCCCGCCGACAAGCGGCCCCCCAAGTTTGAGCGGAAGTTCGACCCGACCCGAGAGCGGCCCCGACGGCAGCGGCCCACCCGGCCCCCGCGGCAGGACAAGCCCCCGCGCTTCCGGCGGCTGCGGGAGAGGGAGGCGGCCGCCAAGCCCGGGGAGGCCCCCGTGCCCTCCAGCGGCCCCCCTGGCACGGCTGCCCCGGAGCCGGCCAGCGCCACTGCCACCTCCGGGGAGGCCTCCGGGACCAAGACACCCGACCTGTCCAACCAGAACTCGTCGGACCAGGCCAACGAGGAGTGGGAGACGGCCTCCGAGAGCAGCGACTTCAACGAGCGGCGGGAGCGGGACGAGAAGAAAAACGCCGACCTGAGCGCGCAGGCAGCGGCCAAGGCCGGGGAGAGCGCGCTGACCGCCAAGCGGGAGCTGGCCAAGAGGAGCTTCTCCAGCCAGAGGCCCGGCGCCGACCGCCAGAACCGCCGAGGCAACGGTGGCCCGCCCAAGGCCGCTCGCAACTTCTCGGGCCCCCGAAACGAGAGGAGGAGCGGGCCGCCGCCCAGGGCCGGGAAGCGAGGGTGAGTGCGGGCCGGGGCCTCGCGGGGGGTCTCGGGAACAGAGGAAGCCCCTTGCGTGCAGTGTCAGCTCTGGGAGGTCTTGGCTGCCGAGAAGCCCTCTTTGTTTTATTTATTTTTTTGTTTTGGGGCTTTTTGGCTTTTGGGGTCACGCCCGGCGATGCTCAGGGATTCCTCTGCACTCAGGAATCTCTCCTGGCAGTGCTCAGGGGACCCTATGGGATGCCGGGGATTGAACCCGGGTCAGCTGCGTGCCAGGCCAACGCCCTCCCCACTGTGCTGTCGCTCCCGCCCCGAGCCTTTTCTTTTCTCTTCGTTTCCCTTCACAAAGCTCTGCAGCCCGCAGGTGACCCCTGGCCGTGGTCGTTACCCAACGTGGTCTCAGACCCGCAGGGCGGGGATCGAGCTGTCGCTTCGTTTTTGTCTGTGCTGGCTAGTGTAGATCATTAATGCCCCCAGCCTCCTCAGCCTGAGCCGCTCGGGTCACACGCTGCTGGGACGCACGTCCGGCATTGACCCTCGGGGACCCTGGGCTGGACTGGGTGCTGGGGATCACAGGGGCCTGTGAGGTGGGCCCTGCCGCCCTGGAGCCAAGGAGGCCCTTTGTGCAGGGACTCAGGTCAGCTTCCTCCCGCTGTTCTTCAGACTCGCTCGGCTCGTGGGACGTCCCGCTATGCGGACCGCAGCCGTGGGAGGTAGACAGATACCTGAGGACCTTCAGGGGACGCGTGACCTCACCGGGGAAAGTGCCCGGAAACTGGCCTGTCCCCTGTGTTGGAGGGCTTGTTTCAGTGACGCCGTTCTGAATGAAATGCCTCTGACTCTTGGGGTTGGGCTCATCTGGATGGAGGGTGACGTGTCACCTTGCTCCGTAGGCCTTCGGACGACCAGCCTGCGGGCGCCCCCCCTGCCGACCCCGCCAACGGCACCCCCTCTGCACACCACCAGGAAGGGGTCCCCAACGGTACGGGGCAGAAGAGCGCCAAGGAGTCTGCAGGGAAGAAGAGGGAGGACCCCAAGCCCGGCCCCAAGAAGCCCAAGGAGAAAGTGGATGCCCTGTCGCAGTTTGATCTCAACAACTATGCGAGTAAGTGTCCGGTTCCACGGGGTTTGTCTGTCAGCTTGTGGGCTGGGTGGCGTGAGGAACTGAGTCTTCGGAAGAAGAAAGTGGGACCTGCAAGCCCAGAGGCTGGGGAGAGTCCGGTTGGCTGACTGGACCGGACTGAAGAACGCCGGCTCTTCGCGAGCCCTCAGGCTGGGTGGGAAGGACTGTGAGCTGTGGCCCTCCCCGGTCCAGAGCCCCAGTGGCCCCTGCACTGCAGAAGCATCGTTGCCAAGGAAACACGGGGAGAACGTGATTGCAAACAGGGACGTTCTCAGCAGCCGTTGATAGTCTCAAACAGCGTTTCTCCAACTTCCTGGCTGGGCCCCGATGTCCTACCTGCTGGGCCTCCAGTGTCACGCGGTGAAGAGATTGTCTCTTAATGAAGAGATTGCTGAGCAGGGGTGTCCGAGAGGCGAGTTGGTCACTGAGGCAGTGCTGGGGGCTTCCTGGGTTTGGAGACCACAGCTGTCATGCTCGGGGCAGTGGTAGAAAGTTAGGACTAGCCCCTCCCCTCTCTGCAAGTGGCTTTCCCACACTGGGGACACTGGCCGGGGGCCCTGGCCGCCTGCAGGCCTCCCCTTAGCACCTGCGTCTCCGCTTCTCTCCCATCCTAGCACCTGGGTGGAAGGAGGCCCACGTGGAGGACGGCGGGTCCGACTGCCTTTGCTCTCCGGAGCAGGGGGAAGGATGAGCTGTTGGCACGGGAACAGGACACTTCCCTCGAGTCAGGGGAGAAGCGCATTATTCAGACGAGATGGTTCTGGGGCTTTCTCAGATTTGTTCTCAGGTCTTCTCACGGTGAGAGTGGCCGTGTGACGGGACACGGCTTTGGGATGGGCGTTGTGGCCTCGAAGCGGGAGGGATCGTGTCAGATCTTTCTCCTCCCGCAGGCGTCGTGATCATTGACGACCACCCTGAAGTCACGGTCGTCGAAGACCCCCAGTCCAATCTGAACGATGACGGCTTCACGGAAGTGGTGTCCAAAAAACAGCAGAAACGCCTCCAGGATGAGGAACGCCGGAAGAAGGAGGAACAGATCGTGCAGGTTTGGCCTTTCAGCTTTGCGGAGTCGGGATTGCCGCCCCGGTGGGGAGCGGACTCGCGCTCTCGGCCTCTGCCTTTTCAGAAAACGTTCTGTGGGCACAGTTGTTAAAAGCGCTTGCGGCCGTGCCCGGTGATGTTCCCTGGCCACCCACACCCGGGGTCACACGGCCCGTGCCGGGGCGGGCGCCTGGCTGGGAGGGGGACAGGCCCTGGGCACCTGGGAATCAGCATTGCAGAAAACGGTCTTGCGGGCCGGGACCAGCTTCTTTCCCCTGGGTCGCTGGACTTGAAGAGTCCCTCTCGGCTTTTCAAGGTGTGGAACAAGAAGAACGCAAGCGAAAAAGGGAGAAGTCAGACGTCGAAGCTGCCGCCGCGATTTGCCAAGAAACAGGCGACGGGGAGTCAGCCGGGGCCGCCCGCAGCCCCTGTCCCGGCCCCGGCGTCCGGCCCCTCAGCGGCCCCACTGCCCGCCGCGGCCTCCCCTGCGTCCCCCGCGCCCCCGGCCACCTCGGCCACGGCCCCCACCATCGCTTCCGTGCCGGCTCCGACCCCCGCCCTGGCGGCGGCCTCCCCGCCGGCCCCTGTGCCCATCTTGGCCGCGGCCTCAATGCCCGTCCTCGCGTCCGCCCTGGCACCGACGTCCACTTCGGCCCCCACCGGCTCGGCCCCGGCCGCCCCGGCCCCCTCGGCCCCGGCCGCCGCCCCCTCCACGGCGCTGGCCCCCGCTGCAATCCCCATGCCCGCGCCCAGCCCCAGCCCGGCCCCCGCAGCCGCCCCCGCTCAGGGCCAGGTGCACAAGCCCGTGCAGGCCTCGCTGCCGGCCGCCACGCAGCCCCCCAAGCCACCGCCGCCCTCCATTCGGCTGCCGGCCGCCCAGGCCCCCAACGGCACGGAGTTCGCGGCCGCGGGAAAGCCCCTCCAGACCCCTCAGGCTCACGGCACTCTCGCCGCCGAGCTGTGGGACAGCAAGGTGGCCCCCACGGCTGTGCTGAACGACATCTCCAAGAAATGTAAGTGTGGACAGAAGCCGCGTCCCGCGGGACCCGGGTGCCCGGCCAGCCTGGTTCTTCCTGCTCCTGACCATCCTCCTAGGAAAGGGCGCTAGGAATCCTCTAGGCCGCCCGTCTTCGGACCCTTGTTTCTAAAACTAGGATGTTGTATTTCTTGAAGTAACTTTTATGGAGGTCCGGAGCGATAGCATAGCAGGGAAGCGCTTGCCTTGCATGCGGCCGACCCGGGTTCGATCCCCGGCATCCCATAGGGTCTCCCGAGCACCGCCAGGAGTAATTCCTGAGTGCAGAGCCAGGAGGAACTCCTGAGCATCGCCGGGGGTGACCCAGAAAGACACCTCCACCTCTCCCCCCCAATTATTTTTTCAAGTAATATTTATGGTTTTAGTTTTGAATATGAAGTTGTTACAGATCGATAATATATAGTGTTCAGGGTTGTGTTTCTTGTACGGTGAAAGAGTCGCGAGAAGCGGCTTCGGGGGTGGGGGGCAGGCAGAGAGAGAGTGCAGGGGTTAAGGATCTAGCCTGACCCGCGACCACCTGTGATCAATGCCTGTCACTGGTCTGCACCTGGTGTGACCCCAGGAAAGTCGTGGTCCTGCCTGGTTATCATTAAGGGAAGGATGAATCGGGGTGGATTAGGAGGCTTTGGGGCTGGGTTTTGTTCTGGGGCACGTGCGGCTCGGTGGCGGGGATCACACATGGACAGCGAGCAGGGTGACTCTTGGTGGCGCTGGGGCTCCGCCAGGCGCCCCCCATCGAGATTTAACCGTCACCCTTCCTTTCCAGTAGGTCCCATCAGCCCACCCCAAGCCCCTTCAGCCAGTGCCTGGAACAAGCCCCTGACGTCCTTCGCCTCGGCTGCGTCTACAGAGGTAGGAGGGACTTGCTGGCGTGTCTGGGGCCTCCTGCGGCCACGACAGCTGATGCCCAGGCCAGGATTCCCAGGGACACTGGCAGTAAACAGAGTGTAAATGCTGGGGCTCAGCCTTCCTGCTGTGTGCTGGCGCCGCTCCTTGGTGCTTAATGGGAAGCCCCGCTGGCCCGAGCGGGGCTCGGGGCTCCGCTGAAACAGAATTCCCCCCCCCCCCCCCATTTCATATCGGGTGATGCGTCGATTGCTCCCAGGCCTCCTATTAGACTGAAATACGTATGCATGAAAATGTCCAGGCCCTGCCCACTTCCTGAGGGTCACTGGTTGCAGCCGGGCTGGTGGCCCCTGAGAAAAGAAGGGACTAATCGTGTCCTGGAAATCATCTTGTCAGACTTGGACTTGCCTGGTACCAGCCTCTTGGCCGTTCTCTCCCTAGGGAACAAAGACCGGTCAAGAAAGTGGTGTCGAAATCGGAATCGACACGATTCAGTTCGGTGCGCCCGCCTCAAACGGGAACGAAAACGAAATGGTTCCTGTGCTTTCGGAGAAGAGCTCGGACAAGATCCCCGAGCCTAAAGAGCAGCGGCAGAAGCAGCCCCGGGCGGGCCCCATCAAAGCCCAGAAGGTAGCGGGCCGGGGAGGAGGAGGTGGAGCTCGGTTTGTCCTTTGGAGGGGCCCTAGCTTCCGAGGCCGCTCGGCCTCGTGACGCGTCCTGTCGCCGGTGTCGAATGCAGCTTCCGGACCTGAGTCCCGTGGAGAACAAGGAGCATAAGCCTGGCCCCATCGGCAAGGAGCGCTCGCTGAAGAACCGGAAAGCGAAGGACACGCAGCCGGCCGAGCCGGAAGGGCAGGAGAAGCCCAGCCCGGCTCCCGCCCGCAGCTCGGACCCGGCGATGACGAAAGAAACCAAAGCCGTCCCCGAGATGCCCACGGAGCTGGGGACCATGATCGCCGTTCCCGCTGCCGACTACGGCACCAGCGCCAAGGTACGAGCGGGGCCCTGCCTGGCTTCCTGGGTGGGACTTCTGCAGGGGAGAAGATCTGTTGTGGGGGGCTGGGGGGTCGTCCTAAAAGTGTGTGTGTGTGTGTGTGTGTGTGTGTGTGTGTGTGCGCGTGTGCGTGTGTGTAGATCTGTGTGGGGTGGGGTGTTTTATAACTTGGCTTAGGCAGAGTGTGTGTGTGTGTGTATCCGTGCTAAGGGGGGTGTGTGTGTGTGTATCCGTGCTAAGGGGTGTGTGTGTGTGTGTGTGTGTGTGTGTGTGTGTGTGTGTGTGTGTGTGTGTGTGTAGATCTGTGGAGGGGTTGTGCTCTCTGAGTCTGAGCCTGACACGTTCCCTTTCCGGTTGGCTGGTGAGGCCAGGGGCCCGTGCGTTGCCTGGTGCTGAGAATTCTGCCAGGCGGTCAGGCCGCTGTCTGCCAACTAGTTGGATGCTGCGACTTGCTTCCAGCATGAGGCCAGTTGATGATGATGATGACGATGATGTCTGGTCAGATGATGATGTCGTTGCTGGGCACTGCGGGGCTCCGTTGGGTGACAGCAGGTTTTCCTCACAGATGGTCCGTCAGGAGGCTGCGGGATGGGGCTCGGGGGCAGCGCGTGTGCGTTGGCCTCCGTGAGACCTCCTGGGCATGATCCCGGCACGGCTGGGGGGAGGCGCCTGTGTGAGCGGAGCAGGCGTCGGGGCGCCCGCCCTGATGATCTGCCTTCCCGTGTCGGCTGCCGGGAGCACAAACACTCAGGGCCGAGTAGAGGCTGTCGGTTCTGTTCCCTGCCGTGCAGCGTGAGCTGAGGGTCCGAGAGAGCCGGCCCGACGTGTCTGCCTGAGTAGATCGGGTCGTCTTGGCGTTTGTCGATTGGCGTCTCAGGCCGGCGTGAGAAAGCGAGTCCTTGGTTCGGTTTCAAACGGTTGTTCTCTGTTGCTCCTCCACAGGAGTCTGTAACCGACTATACCATCCCTTCCTCTTCTCTGCCTAACACTGTGGCCACTAATAATGCAAAGATGGAAGAGACTTTGGTTACCAATGTAAGTAACGGGCCCGAGCGGCCAGCCGGCTGGCGGCCGGCGTGTCCTGCATGACAGTCACAGCACAAGCAAAGCCGGCGCGGCCGAGCGCTTCTGTCCCTTTCTGCCCTGAAAGTCACCTGGCTGGGGGTGGCACGGCTGGCTCTCCCGAGGACTAACGCTGCCGACTCAGTTTGCGTGAGGAGTCTTGTTCTGAGCTTTCACAAAAAGCGCCGTTTTATTGGGTCCGTGGTTTGTTAGATGTTTTCTTCAGGCTGGGGGGTGGGGGCGGCATTTGGACCATCTCTGAGGTGGCATCCTTGGTGCTGCTTGGGCCCGTGTGCGGTGCCAGGGGTCAGACTGGCCGCCTGTGCTGCGTCCTGGTCCTCTTCCGTTCCCCTTGGAACGTGGCGCACTCCTTGGAGCGTCCCTAAGATTCAGGAGCTTGTTCTTCGGGAGGGGGCGCAGTCCTGAGTCGCTGGGGCCGAGAGAGTCCGGGAGGTCGCCTGGCAGCCCTTGGTCTGCCCCCAGCCCTGCGTGTGGTCCCCTGGGCGCTGGGCACCATTGGGTGTGCCCCCCGCCCTGCGAAAAGTTCAGCACTCCCGGGCGGGAGCTACGGCCCCATGGGTAACAGGCCGTCCCTGCACTGCGGGGCCCCCACAGCACCTCTGCGTGTGCCGCAGGAACCAGGCGGGATGTGTGGGAAACGACAGTGGTGGGCCGGAGACGGGGCAGCACTCCCCCCAGTGGGCAGCAGGAGTGGCCGGCTGGGAGTCGGGGGTGTAGGCAGTTAGGGATCGTCTCGGCCAACGCGGAGGGAGAGGAGGAGCGCGCTGAGCCTCCTCGCGGGGGTGGGATGCTGCCTCCGGCCCGTTGCACACCCTCCTGGGCGGGGCTGGAGTCTGAAGTGGCGGGCTTGGACCATCACAGTCGAGCATGATTCTCTCTGCGTTGTGGCGCCTCTTATTACTTGACGGAAACAGCCCGTTGGGCCAGGCCCTAGGTGGCGGGTGGGCGTCTGCCTCCCCTGACCCGGGGCCAGGAGGCAGCCCCACCCTGGCCCCCCGCACTCCCCTCTCCACACAGGGAAGGATCCCACAGATCGTTCCTGAGACCTTTGTCACTGGACTGGGCTTCAACAGGGCCACGCAGCAGGAACGGTCCGGCCACAAAGATGCCACTCTCCCCGGGACACAGTGGGTGCTCTGTGGCCTGCCTCGGGCCACTCGGAGCGGAGAAAGCCACGCTGTGCTCAGCCTCCTGCATCCTGCGGGTGCTCAGGGGCCTTCCATGTCGCAGAGGTGGGCGCGCGGTGTCAGGAGTGGCAAGACTTGGTTCCTAGCTGCCTTCGGTTCCAGGTGATTCTCGTGTTGCCGGGCATGCCTGTCAAAACGGATGGCCCTGGGCAGGAGTCCAGGGCCTTAGGACAGGTTCCTTCTCTCGGGCTTCGCCTCTTGCCAGTTCCGTTAGAGGAGTTTTGTCCGCGTGAACGTTATCCCTTAGAGAAGACGTTTCCGCAGCAAGGGAAACGTGTCCCTGATGGGACTCGTGTGAGTTTCGAAATTGCAGTTGGTTCAGATCTTGGTTCCGTTGGTGACTCAGGCGCTAACGGCGTCCTCTGGTGACTGTGGCACGTTTCCGTGATAATGGCTGCTCTACAGTTGGCTGTCGTCTCCATCGGAGAGAACACAGTGTCTCAGAGCGTCCCCTCCACCCCCGCGCCCTCGTCGTTTGACGCCGGTCACTAAATGAGCTCTGCGGAATGAGTCGCCTGCCTATGAAGCCTCAAAGCCCAGAGTCCTAGAGAGAGAGAGAGACATGTTGGTGTGGTTTTTATGTTGTTGTTGCTGTTGTTGTTGTTGGGCAGCGCGCTGCTCGGAGCATTTTCCTTAGACACTTACAAACGGAAACCGCGTCTGTTTCTTCCGTGTGGCTCGCCAGGGTAGGGGTCCGTCCTCCGGGCACCCACAAATTCCTGCGGTGTTTGCAGCTCCATGCAAGAAGGGTAGCTGGGGGCCGGGAGGGTCTGCTTTTTCCGTTGTCGCCCACTCGTGACCGAGCCGCTCTCCCGGGCTGCTGCCTCCCCTGCGGCTGGCCTGTGCGTTGGCAGGCAGATGCGGTTAGTTTCTCTCCAGAGCTTTCCCGCCTGCTTCACTGCCCGCGGCTGCTCCGTGTGTCCTGGCTGGGCCCGTGGCGCTGGCCGTGGCGAGGTTGTGATTGTGTTGCCTTTCCAGGTGCCCCTCCCTAAGCAGGGGACCGCCCAGCAGAGCTTCAGCCTCAGCTGCAAGGTAGGTACCCCACCCGGCTCTCCAGGCCGGCGGCTGCATGCAGGGGCCACACTAACATTGCTCTGCTTCCCGGGCTGAGGACGTGGGTGTCGGCAGGTCCCTCCCTGAGATCAGGCTCGCGCCCGGTTCCAGAGTCCCTGAGGCCTGGCTGGCACCCTAGGGAGAACGCAGTAATGATTCAGAAGAGCACGTGCATTCCATGTTGAGGGTTCAGTCATGTTTGGGTGTGTTAGATGCGACCCCCCCCCCCCCCCAAAAAAAACCAGCTAGTGTGGCTGGAGTTCTGACCGCTGTGCGAGGATGTTGATAGTCTCTCCCTGCAAGTCACGTCTGCGTTGAATGAGTGCGGAGTGGTAATGAGACCATTAAGAGGGAACCGATCACTGCAAGTGATTTGGATGTGATTTTTCTCAGTAGTTAAGACGTTTTGGTGTGGTTTTATGCTGTGGTTGTTGCTGTTGTTTTTTGCTGGCTAATGTTTGATAAGAGCGAAAGGTTTCAGTGGGTACTTTCAACATCAGGTTTAGGCTTCTTTCAATCTGATTATATCTTTCACTCTGAGCCTTAACTAACGCATTTTTGCAGTGACGTTACTTTGCAAGTTTGTGTCAGTCACTGATCTCTAGGCTGGTGAGTGACTCTGGGTGACTCGGCCTGGAGCGAGCAGGTTTGACATGCGTTTAAGCATCTTCTCGGGACTGGAGACCTGGGCAGGGCCGTGCTGCGTGGTGCCCTGTGGGTTCCGCATCCTCTCCAGAGAAGAGCAGAGTAGACCGGTTGGGCCCGTAAGCTAAGTGCTAGCAGAGCCGTCCGGGGGTCAGACCCTGCTTGGCCCCAGGTGCTGGAAATCGAGAAACCGTGCGCTGTTCCGAGGGCCCGGGCGCACTTGGCCTGGGATGCCTCGGGGCCAAGTGCAGAGCCTGCTGGTGCGTGGTGGGGGCAGCCCTTAACGGGTGTCCGCTGTTCTGTCTGCTGCCACCGGTCACTCAGGAAACGCGGGGCGTGCTTGGGGTGTGGCTCCACAGCCTGCCAGGAGAGTGGCCAGTGCTGGCCCCAGAGCTCTGCGCCCGCTTCGGGGTCCCAGTGTCCCCCTGTCATTGCTGCAGATTTTTTTCAGGGGGGTGTGGTTAGCCTGCGCCCCCACCCAGCCGCTCTCAGGGGACCGAGTGTGTCATGCTGGGGGTGGAGCCAGTGCGGCAGACGCCCTCCCCTCTGTCCTGGGCCCCGCCACCTTCTCTGGGGCACTCGGGGTCTCTTCTCCCGGACTGGCGATCGTCTTCTCCCCGGGTACCTCTGGAGAGTTGCGTTTCGCCCGTCTCCTCAAGTTCAAGATGTGCTTCTCGCTTGGCAGGGTGCAGGTCCAGACGGGTGGGGCCTTGCGGGAGATAAAGCAGAGGCCGGATCTGAAACGTTAATAAGAACAAGGTTAACGGGAAAGACGTGGCAAGAATTTAAGGGATTTAAGTCCAACCAGTACGGCACTAACCCTGCATGCAGCCGACCCGAGTTTGATCCCCGGCATCCTGAGGACTGATGGGAATCATTGGCAGGAATGAGCCCTGAGCACTGCTGCGTGAGCAGCCCATTCCCACCCCACCCCCAAAGAAAAGAATTGGCTGACTGCATGTTTTGTTGCCACAGTTAGTCTCACATGCTAGTTTCACCTTTAAACGTATCTTCTGGAAATTCCAAGGAGCTCCAGGTAAATTAAGACAAAGTTTGCCTCTCTTGAAATGAAGGGCTCCGACTCAGCTGTTGGCCACAGGTAGAAATGGTGCCGTTCAGAGAGGCCGGCGCCACCGGACCCTGCTGGGGCAGTTGCCTCGTGAGTGACCGGTCCAGGCTCGAGCCCTGAGCGTCGCTCACTGTGTGCCCAGAACGGAGAAAAGGGAAAGAAAGGGAACGGGGCGGCTCAGCGCTTGCAGGAGCGAGCAGAAAGTTCTCTGGGCTGCAGCGGAAGTGAAGGGCCAGTTCCCTTGCCGCTCACCCCGGCCATGGAGCCGCTGACCCAAGAAGGTGCCCGCCACTGGCCGGCTGAGAAGGGCGAAGCGGCCCGGTCCCGGCTCGCTTCCGTGTCACCTCGCCCCTCGCTCAGGCGCCCGTCGTCTTGCAGATGGAGTCGGCGCGCAAGGCCTGGGAGAACTCTCCCAACGTGCGGGACAAGGGCTCCCCCGTGACGTCCACGGCGCCGCCCATCGCCAGCGGGGCCAGCAGCAGCGCCAGTGGGCCCAGCCCCGGCAGCTACAGCTCCTTCTCCAGCGCCTCAGTGCCCCCGATTCCCGTGGCCTCCGTCACGCCCACCGCGTCTCTCTCAGGTACCCCCGGGCGTCCTGCGGGGCGGCTTGGCTGCCCTTCCCGCCTCCCCCCTCCACTGGGCTCGGCTCTGGTGCTCGGCCTGGCTCTGCTCCGGGTGGGGTTGAGCTTGGGGTTCGAGCCAGGCGCCAGCCCCCTGGCTTCTCCTCTGGAAGGATGCCAGAAGGGCCCTCGGGGGGGAAGGGTGGGGGGCGCTCCCGGCAGTCGTTGCAGTCCCTCTGCTCACTGATCGTGGGTTACGTGGCCTGCCTGTTACTGTGTTTGGCGTTGATAGTACGTAGTGATAGACTTGGGGGACCGGAGCGTGTGCCTGGCACGCAGCCGACCCGGGCTCGATCCCCGGCATCCCATAGGGTCCCCCGAGCACCGCCAGGAGTGAGTCCTGAGTGCAGAGCCAGGAGTCAGCCCTGAGCATCGCCGGGTGGGACCCACAAAATAAAAAGTGATTTGGGTTGGGCTGCCCCCAGCAGTGCTCAGGAGTCCTGCCCCAGCCTGGGTGCTCTTCCCAGTTCGGTGACCGAGTCCCCTGGCACAGCGTGCGGGGGGGCTCCGGGGCAGGCCGGCCAGGTGGGGGTGGCCGGAGTCCCCGGTTCCGGGCGGGACTGGGTCGCTGACCGCGCCGCCCTCGCCGCCAGGAGCCGGCACCTACACTACCTCTTCCCTGAGCACCAAGTCGACGAGCACGTCGGACCCGCCCAACATCTGCAAGGTGAAGCCGCAGCAGCTGCAAAGCGGCAGCCTGCCCTCCGCCAGCCACTTCGCCCAGCTGGGCTGCGTGCCCCCCCTGCTCCCCCAGCAGCAGCAGGCGCCGCAGGTCTACGTGCCGCAGTCGGCTGCCCCAGGTGAGGCCCCCGCCCCGCCCCGCCGGGACCCTGTGCCGTGGGCCAGACAGACGGGGGTGGCACCCTCGGGCCGTCTAGGACAGTGTTGGGGCGTGTGTCCCCCTTGGGGGCCCACCCAGGGTGGTCCAGTGCTCGGGGGCTGGCCCAGGTCGCCTCCGACACGGCACCTGCCACCGGTTGGTTCACCAGGATCCTTATTTGAGACCTTGTTCCGGGACAGTCTTGGAGCTAGGACATCCGTGCGGATGGAGTTATTATTCGAGATGCGTTTGGTGTTAATTTATGGGCGTTCATTGTTGGTGCCAAGTTAAAAACACCCTGGGCGTACTCTGAAGCATCTGATCAGAAGATCTAGCACATTTGTAAAGTATATAGGAACTTACTTAGAATCTGTGCCAAATCCTCGATTGTGAAAATTCTTTGGGAAAACTGCTGAATCCTGGTCCAGGTGGTTGCCCACATTGGGTCCTGTCCCGTGGTGACCGGAAGCTCTGGCTGTTGGATGAGGCTAACTGCCGTGCAATCCGCTGCAGAACATCTGCGGGTATTTTTCTGTCGGGGGATTCTGGCATGTGCCCTCACCGCTGGTTCTTCTGCTGGTTTCACAGCTCAGATCCCCGCCTTCTACATCAGCGACACAAGTCACTTGTTCAACACGCAGCACGCCCGCCTGGCGCCGCCGTCCCTGGCCCAGCAGCAGGGCTTCCAGCCCGGCCTCTCGCAGGTGAGCACCCTGACGGGGCCCGGAGCGGGAGGACAGCGGGAAGGGCATTCGCCTTGCACGCGGCCGACCCGGGTTCGATCCCCGGCATCCCAGAGGGTCCCCAGGAGGCAGGCCTGCGTGTCCCGGGTCTGAGCGCGATCACGCAGCCGGCGAGCTCATGACTCGGGCGGAATCTTGCTTGTCCAGAGGAAGCCGTTTCCTGGCGGTTTCCATCTCGAAGTGCTGTGTGGGGTGCGTGCCGGGCTGAGGCGTGTGTGCGCGGCGCGTGCCCTGTCCCATGGCCTCCTGTGTCCCCGCAGCCGGCGTCCGTGCAGCAGATCCCCATTCCCATCTACGCGCCACTGCAGGGTCAGACCCAGCTGAGCCTGGGGGCCGGCCCCGCCGTCTCGCAGGCTCAGGAGTTGTTCAGCTCTTCACTGCAGCCTTACAGGTGGGAGTCGCGTCCGCGCGCCCCCGGGTGCTTGGTGTCTCCCCAGCCCCCTGGGGTGGCCGGAACGCGCCCCCCAGAGTTAGCCCTTGGTGGTGGGCCTGGAACCCCGGACCCTGGGGCCCGTGGGGAAGGCGGCGGCATCCTGGCGGCTCCTGGGCGCCGTGTGCCCTGGCTGGGGTAGCGGCTGACCCCCGGCCCCTGCCGCCCGCCCAGGTCGCAGCCGGCCTTCATGCAGAGCGGCCTCTCGCAGCCGTCCGTGGTCCTATCCGGCACGGCCATGCACAGCTTCCCGGCCGTCCAGCACCAGGAGCTGGCCAAGGCCCCAGCGGGCCTCGCCTTTCAGCAGACGTCCAGCACTCAGCCCATCCCCATCCTGTACGAACACCAGCTGGGCCAGGCTTCCGGGCTCGGGGGGTCCCAGCTGATCGACACGCACCTTCTCCAGGTGAGGCACGGCCCACCACCGCCCCTGGGGAAAGGCGGGGGTCTCCTCTTCACTCTGGCCCCGCGCGTTCGGCCGTCTCACCGCGCTCTCTGCCACTCCTAGGCGAGAGCGAATCTCACCCAGGCCTCCACGCTCTACTCGGGGCAAGTCCAGCAGCCTGGCCAGACCAACTTCTACAACACTGCCCAGTCGCCCAGTGCTCTGCAGCAGGTAAACTGTGGCATGGTAAATTTCCTCCGTTTTCTTTTTCATTGTTGTGGTGGTGTCGGTGGTTGGGTGGTTTGGGGGGCGCCCCTGCGGGTTCGGGAGTGTCCTGGGGCTGTGGCCCCGGCCGCCCCCCCAGTCAGGGCCGTTCTCCGGGAGGATGGACAGCGGGTCATGGGGAGGCCGGGCGTAGGCGCCTTTGGGAAATGGGTCGAGAAATGCCATTGACGAGGGTGTCTGTCTTCTGCGGGGTGGGGGGGCCCCTTCATGATGGGGCGGGGGCGCTCTGACATGGCAGGGCTGGATCCCCGGTCAGCTGGTGGGCGTGGGAGGAGCAGCCTTTCGGGTCCTCTGTCCTGACTCTTTGGTTCCTGTTTTAGGGGAGGCTTTTCACGAGGACCTCACTGAGGGTCAGGTTGAATGCCGTTTGTATGGAAACGGAAAGGGTTATTTTTCTTGTTAGTGTTGATTTGGACCAGGCCTAACTGCTGAAGTTCTGTTGTACCCTGTGTTTTCTCTGACGTGGGCTGCGGGTTAACTTACAGACCCGTTGGCGTTTAGGCCACTGCGTTTTTTTCCTCCTGTTACTCGGCCCTGCACCTTGAGCATAGGGAAGAGTGGTGGTTGCCCGGCCGCGGTGCAGACTCGAAGGCCGCTGGCCCGTGTCCGAGCTCTCGCCTGGGGCTGGGAGGGGGTTCCACGGGGACAGCGGGTGGCGACAGTGTCCCTGCTTCCTGTCCAGGTCACGGTGCCGTTGCCCGCGTCCCAGCTCTCCCTGCCGAGCTTCGGCTCCACGGGGCAGCCCCTGATCGCGCTGCAGCAGACCATGCAGCCGCCGCTCCAGCACGGCCCACCCGCCCAGGCCCAGGGTGTGAGCCGGCCGGCCCCCGTGAGCCAGCCCTTCCGGGGGCTCATCCCTGCGGGCCCGCAGCACAGCATGATGGCCACAGGCAAGGTGAGTGGCGCGGGGATCTCTCGCGGCTACTGGTGTCTTAGCCGCAGCCCACCCCCTGTTAACTGGAGAACCGAGAATTCATCCTGCGGAAGTTTCTCTCGGGGGGGGGGGGGGGGGGGCCACGCCTGACAGTGCTCGGGAGTCGCTCCTGGCCTGGCAGGGCCGCAGCCCCGGGGACCCATCGGTTCCGTGGGTGGATCTGACTGGCCATCTCAAGCTCGGGTTCGAGCCCAGCCCACTGAGCTCTCCAACCCCCGCGTCCCGCGGTGCCTTGAGCCTTCCCGAGGCCCTTTGCTCTCGGCTATACAGTCCCCAGGCGCAGAGCACTGGGCGTGGCGCTCAGCCTGTGGGATGCAGGAACAGCCCTGTGCCCGCCCGCAGCCAGCCTGGGTGCGGGCCCCTCCGCTCGCTCACGTTGGGCCTCTCCTCAGATGTCCGAGATGGACCTGAAGGCCTTCGGGAGCGGCATGGACATGAAGCCGGGCACGCCACCCATCAGCGGCCGGAGCAGCGCCGCCGCCGCCAGCCCCTTCCGGTAAAACGCGCGTTCACGCCACTCGCGGCGCGTCCAGGGCAGGCGCCGAGCTCCGTCCGGGTCGTTAGGAATGTAACGTTGTGCTGTGTTTCTAGAAAACCGTTCCCTCCCGGGCACACGGTGCTGGCTTCCTCTCTCGCCCGCCCGCCCGCCCTCCCCGTCTCCTGCCACGTTCGCTCCCTCCCTCCCCGGGTCGGGTGTGGTCAGCCACCGAGCGGGCCGACCTCCCCGCGAGCCCTCCCGCCGCCGAGCGCGGCCTCGGTGCCTCGTACTGACCAGCGACGGTTCTCTCCAAGGGCTACTTCCACAAGTCCGAACAGCCAGTCCGGCAAAATGAGCGGCCTTGTCTATCAGAAGCAGTTCCAGTCAGCCCCCGCCACTGTGAGAATGACCCAGCCATTTCCTACACAGTTTGCACCCCAGGTGGGCAGATCCGAGTGAGAAACTGTTTACCTGCAAGCGTTCTAGTCCGGCTAAGTCTCTGCGTGATGCTCTGGCCCCCCGGGAGCCAGCTTAGAGGCCCAGGTGTGAGGAGAGGCGTCCTCCGTGGCACTGCGTGACCTCGCGAGGTCCGACAGCTGTAGGGCAGCGGTGGGGCTGCCGCCGGAGGCGCGCCCCGGGGCCCCACGTAGCTCTGCCTGTGCTCCCGGTCCTGCCAGAGTGGACCTCCCCCCCTCGCCCCCACCCCCCGGGGTCCCGGAGCTTCAGGGAACTGTGTGCTGGGAGGAATCGCCAGGGCTTGGCTTTGCTTCCCGTGGCTGCTCGCGCGGGAGGCAGGACGGAAGGGAGCGGCCCGTCTCACGGACGAGGCGGTTCCCGAGAAACAGCTCTGTGGCGTCCGCACCGTGCCCGTCTCCTCCGAGTGTGTGTGCGCTAGGTGTGTGCCTCTTCGCCGCTGTGTGTGTGAAGGATGCCCTGCGCCTGGCCTCCCCGCCTCCCTCCGAGCCGGCCCGAGCGGCCCTGCCCGCGGGGGCTCCTACCGAGCCTGGCCCGGGGGTTGGTCCCGAGAGCCCGGCGGCCCGAGCCGGCCGCCTCCCCGTGCAGGTGACTCTGGGATAAGCCGACCCGCTCCTGGTTGGCCGTTTTCTTCTTTTTTTTTTTTTTTTTTAATTTTTTTCTTTTTTTTTTTTTAACAGTTCGATGTTGTATGTTTTGTTTTTTTCACTCAGATTCTCTCTCAGCCTAACCTGGTCCCTCCATTGGTAAGAGCCCCACATACTAACACCTTCCCAGCGCCTGTGCAGCGGCCGCCAATGGCCCTGGCCAGTCCGATGGCTCCTCCGCTCGCCACAGGCCCCCTGAGTCATGCTCGCTTGCCACTCGCAGCCAGGGGCCCCTGCGGGTCCCTCCCTGGCGCCCGAGGGGATCCGGCCCAGGCTGCGTTGAAGGCTGAACAGGACATGAAGGTTAGTACACTGTGACGGCCAGCAGAGCGAGCGTCTGTCTCGACCCGTGTCGGAAATGCCTCTGGACTGTGACCGCACGTCCAGGTGTTGTCTTGGCCCTCCACCGAGCTGCCCGCTTCCATTCGTGCCCTTTTTTTTTTTTTTTTTTTTTTTTTTTTTTTTAAACCCCCTCCCTTCCCATCCTCTCCCACCACTTTTTTCCTTTTATTTTTTTTTTTTTATTTCATTGTTGAGTTTTTTGGTTTTGGTTTTTTGTTTTTTAATTGGTTTAGTAACAAAGTAGCATTTTTACATCTGGCCAGATAAATTGCTGATAAAAGTCCATGAGGGAATCTGAGGTTAGCAGCTACTTTTACCTTTTTTTTTTTTTTTTTTTTTTTTTTTTTATTTTTGGGAAGGAGAACATAACCTGAATTGCTGTTCTAGGCTCCCCCCACCCCGCCCTTTCCTTTCCTTTCCTTTCCTTTCGTTTCCTTTGTTTTTTTTTTCCTCTCCCCCTTCCTGGCCGCCCTCCTCCCCGCGCCCCTCCGTCCTCCCCAGCTTCGGCTCTGATCCCGGCGGTGTGAGGGCTGTGGATGGGTCCCGCGGGGCGTGTGCGGGGGCGACGCGGCACTCAGAGGCACTCGGGACCCCGGTCTCGGCGGCGACTGTCACCGTGCAGCAGATGAGGCTAGAGCAGAGGTGCTGGCCGCGCGGCGGCGGGGGGGCGGGGGCGGGGGCGGGCCGACCCGCTCGCTAGGGTCCCCGGGGAGCGTCGAGCCAGCGGCTCCCGGTCCCCTCCCGCCAGGAGACGGCGCAGGCGGGCCGGCGTCTCGGCGGCCGGCGTCTGTCTGGTTGTGCTCCGGCCCCTGACTCCAGAGGGGCAGTTCCGGGGGCGGGGGGCGGCCCGAGGAGCCCCCGGAGCAGCGCAGGGCGCGGTAGGTCAGCGTCAGCGGCCGGAGCCGGCGGGTACTAATTTCTGATGCTCTTCTCCTGCAGAAGAGGCCAGTGGGAAGAGGACCCAGCCACAAGACCTATGGTCCTAGGTGTTGGTAATGCCGCGAATGAGCGCCTCCTTTCCGTTTCCGTAGACCAGTGTCTGTTGCCTCTGAGACGTGTCAGTCGGGCGAGCGCGGGGCGGCCGAGCTCTGAAGCCGCGGCAGCTTCGGGGGCCGCTCGCCGCGGTGGTGGGGGCCGGGGCAGCGCGAGCCGAGCCGTCGGACGCTGCGCTGGGTCCGGCCGGGCGCGGGCTGCAGCCGCTGTCCTTTCTCCCCTTAAGGCCAAGCAGAGAGCAGAGGTTCTTCAGTCCACGCAGCGCTTCTTCTCCGAGCAGCAGAGCAAACAGATAGGAGGCAAAGGCCCCAAGGTGGACAGTGACCCCGGCAAGGCCCCGGACGCTCTGGCCGACCCCCCCGGGGGGGGCCCCGACCAGGCGGAGGAGAAGCCGCCGCCCGCGCCCACCATCGCCCCGAAGCCCGTGCGGACTGGACCCATCAAGCCTCAGGCCATCAAGACCGAGGACCCGAAATCCTAAGGGGGGGGCGCGGGCAGGGCAGCGGGCCGGCGCGGAGGACACTGACCGCCCGCCCCCCCCTCGAGCGCAGGTCCCTGTTCATCGAACCCCGAGCCCAGAGCGGGGGCGGGGGGGGCAGAGGCGCTGCAGGAGCCGGGCCTGTCCGCCCGGGGCGGCCGGTGCTGGGGGACAGCGCCCTGGTCTCGGGGTAGCGGCTGGCGTGGCACCCGGCCACCGCGCGCGGCCGCTGTCCCTCCCCAAGTCCCCAAGTCATCGCCGAGTGGCCGGTGCTCGGGCCTCCCCCTCGCGGCCGTCTCGGTCAGCCCAGTGGTCGGGCTTTTGTGTGCCCCCTTTACCTTTTTTCTTTTGAAGAAGAAGGAAAGAAAAACACCAACGGTTTTTAGCTGATGGGCGCGGCGAGCCGCCCTGTTGCATGGGGCACGTTCCCCGGGCGCGTGGAATCACGTCTCCAGTAATGCCTGGGAACCCTGGCCGCAGGCCGTGCCGTCCACCCCCATCAAGTGTCCCATGGGCCTGCGCGTCCCCCCCCTTCCCCCCGCCCCGTGTCGTCACCGTGCTGTATCAGAGCTCTTTGTAATGACGTTATTCTAGAATGTTTCCTTTGCAGATGATGGTCGAGATGCTGATAGACAAAAAAAAAAAAATTGGTGCCAGGTACCACCACAGTGACGGGACTTTGCTGTTTTCTGGGGTTTTGTTTTTTACTTTTTTTTTCCCCCTTTTTTTTTTAAATGGAGTGTGCTGATGTCTCTTAATTTGTTCAGATGACTGCAGAACTTGGAAACGCTGTTGCTGCTATTGATGCGTGACTTCCTGCTATCGGTCTTTTTTATATAAATATAAATATATATATATATATACATATATATATAATTTGAATTTTTGGAAACTTGAGCTGTGCCGTCAACTTTGGAAAAAAGTCTCCCAGTCTACCGTCTCGGGTTGGCATTGTACAGAAATTCACAGCCATATTGGTCTAGAAACGGGGAACATCTCTCTCTCTTTCCATTTGTACAGGGGTAAAAACGCACTGTATTAAATATGTAAGGTCTTATCTACGTGGGTTTGATTACAGAAACTAATAAAGTATTCTCTAAATAACGCATCCTCCGGCCGCTGAGTCTGGGGGGAGGTTGCGGGGGAGGCGGCCCTGCCCTGGGGAGTGAGAGGGGCCCCTTGCTCCCACCCCAAGGCAATGGTAGACGTTGGCGTCTCGCAGAAACGCAGTTGAAGGGGACCAGGCTCGGATCCTTTTATTGGAGCAGGGGGCTTAAATCAGTGTAATGATGAGAGGGGCGCGCCTGGGGTGTCCCTGACGTCCCACGGGGTTCCCACTCTGCACCTGGGTCTCCCTGCATGGCCCTGGCCCACGATGCTCCGGGGCTTCAGGAGACCTGAAAGTGCTCGGTTAAGTAGCTCCCTAGAAGCCGCAGCGTGGAAGCAGGAGCCGGCACGTCAGCCTCCCCTGCACACTGCCAGGCCTTGCCTTGAAGTGATACTCAGCTGACAGTCGGTGACAAGAATTACCAGCACCCACCCCCACCCCCACCCCACACAGTGCACCTGGGCCCGTCCCTCCCCAGCCACGGTTCTCCACGGTGCCGGAGAAGGTTCTCGCGTGGGGGGCAGGGCCGGCCGGTCACTTGGTGGAGAGGCGCACGTCGCAGGTGACCACGTGGCTCTTGTCCCAGCCGAACAGCCGCGGGGGTTGTGGTGGATCGTGCTGGTGTCGCCCTAGTGGTTCTGGTCGGGGCTCCAGCGCTGGCCCGATCCTGTGTCAAAGGCAAAGTTGACGGCCACACCCGTGCCCGCCCGCCACGTGGTCTTGGGTGTGTGGGGGGCCACGGGTCCCCCATCCACACGCCTTACTTGCCCCCGGGGGCCTCGGCCCTGCCCTACATGTCTGCAGTTTCCCCACCCAGACGAGGCCGCTGCAGCCTACACTTCACTCGGGGCCCCGGGTTCGAGCTCCGGGGGAACCCGAGGCAGGGGCAGGGATAGGAGCTGCCTACCCGGGTCCACTGCTGCCGCCACCTCCAGGCGGCCCTCCGGGGTTCCTGCGGTTCCCGAAGCGGGAAGCTCCTTCTGCCCAGACTTCAGCTCCTGGGGCTTCAAGTTTTCCGGATCCCACCTAAAAACTGGATGTGGGGAGAGAGTGGGCACGGGAGGAGGAGACCTGGGCCACACCGGACCCTCGGGGACCTTTGGGAACTCTCCCTGGGGGCACAGTGCAACTTGGTAGGGGGCATCCCGGTGGGACCTGTGCTCAAGGCCATTCTGCCGGGTGGGACCCCCGTGCCTCTCTGCTGGCCTCTGCTTGGTCAGAGGGGACACGCGTGTCGCTGGGGCCACAGCTGGGTGCCTTCACTCTGGGGCCTCTGGACATGCCCACCCGCCACCCTGCAAGATCACACTCAGCAGGGGCTGGAGTGATAGTACAGTGGGTAGGGTGTTTGCCTTGCACGTGGCTGACCCAGGTTCGATTCCCAGCATCCCATGGGGTCCCCTGAGCACCACCAGAGTAACTCCTGAGTGCAGAGCCAGGACTAATCCCTGAGCATCAGCGGGTGTGACCCAAAAAGTAAAAATAAATCACACTCAGAAGGGACCCCCGCCCCCGTGGGCTGCCCCCCACCCTCCTTACTGCCTCTCCTGCTTGGGGGGGGGGGTCCTCTCGCTGTCACCCTCCCCACCCACAGTGCCGTATCTGTGTATCTCCGGGTGTTTTCACTGCACAGAGAGGGGCTTGCCTCACACGTGCCCCGAGACCCCCAGGAGTAGCCCCCAAGCACTGCCAGCTGTGGGCTCCAAAAGGACCCGCAGACTGTCACCACCAGATGATCCATTGTCGCTTTCATAGCCAGAAGCTACAAAAAGCCCCAGAACAGAAGATGGCAGGAAAGCAGGCTAGCCCCTCCCTCTCCAGGGTTCCCCCCTGCCTGGACTTCTGTCTTGGCTTGTTTTTGCTTTGGGGGCCATGCCTGGCGATGCTCAGGGGTTCCTCCTGGCTCTGCACTCAGGAATTGCTCCTGGCGGTGCTCAGGGGACCATATGGGGTGCTGGGGATCGAACCCGGGTTGACCGCGTGCAAGGCCAACGCCCTCCCCGCTGTGCTATCACTATGGCCCTGGAAAGCCAATTTTAATTCATTTTAAAAATTTTATTTTGCTCTTGGGGTCACACCCGGCGTTGCTCAGGGCTGGCTCTGCCCTCAGGAATCACTCCTGGCGGGGCTCGGGGGGACCCTATGGGATGCTGGGAATCGAACCCGGGTCAGCTGCATGCAAGGCAGATGCCCTACCTGCTGTGCTATCACTCCAGCCCCTCCCCCTCCCTCCCTCCCTCCCTCCCTCCCTTCCTTCCTTCCTTCCTTCCTTCCTTCCTTCCTTCCTTCCTTCCTTCTCCTTCCTTCCTTCCTTCCTTTCTTTCTTTCTTTCTTTCTTTCTTTCCTTTCTTTTTCTTTCTTTCTTTCTTTCTTTCTTTCTTTCTTTCTTTTTCTTTCTTTCTCTCTGTCTCTTTTCTTTCTTTTGAGTCCCACCCAGTGATGCTCAGGGCTGACTCCTGGCTCTGCCCTCAGGAATCACTCCTGGCGGGGCTCGGGGGACCCTATGGGATGCTGGGAATCGAACCCGGGTCGGCCGTATGCCAGGCAAATGCCCTCCCAGCTACAGAAAGATCTCAAAGATTCCCTTCGGACTTGCGTACTGATCATGACTTCGGGGGGCAGGTGCCTTTCTGTGTGATGGAAGGGGATGACCCACGGAAGCCCTCTCTCGCGCCCCCCCCCCCCCGTCAGTAACACCCGGCTACTTCTGTCACGACGGTGTCCTCCCTCACAGCTTCCGGTACTAATGGGGACCAGCAGCAGGCTCACATGACACAACATGGTTTCGGGTGCATCTGTCCTTTCCAGTCACGCGATCCAATTCTAGAAATTGATTTTCCTTGCGACATCTGCTGTGACATTTTTTTTTTTTTGGTCACACCCAGCGATGCCCAGGGCTGACTCCTGGCTCTGCACTCAGGAATCACTCCTGACGGTGCTCGGGGGACCCTATGGGATGCCGGGGATCGAACCCGGGTCGGTCGCATGCAAGGCCAATGCCCTCCAAGCTGTGCTATCGCTCCAGCCCCTGGATTTTTGTCTTCGAAGGCAGGCCCCAGACAGAACTCTGGAGAAGGAGGCTTGGGGCTGAGTTGGATGAATCCCTACAGCAAGCAAGATGGGCCGGGAGGGCCCACCCATAGCCAGGTGCCCTGCACCCCTCCTCACCTTCCCTGGAGCCTGGAGTCGCGTCCTCAGAGGCCTGGGGACTCCGGTCACGTCTCCGCCCCCGGGTGGCCTCCTGCAGCTCCGTCTTGCCCCTCAGCAGCCGGCCATAGGCCTCCTGCAGCCGCCTGGCCCTGGTCTCCAGCTGCGTCCTCTCTCTCCTCAGCGTGGCCAGCGCCACCAGCGGCCCCGCCTGGCTCTCCCGGGGCCGGGCAGCCTGCTTCGAAGTCAGCCGCTGCACCCGCCTCTCCAGGGAGCCGAGGCGGACACGGAGGGCCTCGAGCTCCCCATGCTGGATGCCACTGACTCTCTGCAGGGACTGCACGGCCGGCGAAGCCTCTCCTGGCTCGGGGCAGAGGGACCCAGGGGGCCCGGTCACTGAGAAGGTGCATTGGCACAGGCTGCTCTGGTTGCCGGCCTGGTGGGCCCCCAGCGCCCGTGGCACCAGGGCCAGCAGCAGAAACAGCATCACGGGCATCTGGGCTGCAGCGAGCACCGCCTCCTAGAGCAGTTCACTGCTTCATGCCCCGGCTCTGCCGACGCTTAAATGCCCAGGGAGCCAGCCCTGCTTGGGAGGAGGAGGGGTGGGGGGAGGCGGGTGAGTCAGTGCCCAAAGCCAGCCCACGGGGAGTTCTGGGAGGGGGGTGTCTCTGGGGTCAGCTCCAGAGACCTTTAAACTGGCCTGGGAGTGACTGAGGTTTGGCATTTTCTTGGGAAACGGACTTTTCCCAGAGCCATAAAACAGCGGGGGGTGGGGGGGTGGGGGGGCGGGAACGCTGCTCTTGAGCCAGGAGTAAACCCTGTGCATCAACTGGATGTGACCCACCAAGTAAAAAAATAAATAAAATGGCACCGATCCGGCAGAGTCTCCTGGCCCCGCGCCTGCCTGTCCTCACCGGGGCCCCTTGGAGGGGGGAGGGTTGAGTTTCTCTCTCCCCCTCCACCCTGTCCCGAGCAGAGCCCCAGCAGCTGAGGACCTCTGGAGCCAGCCACGATCATGCTGGGACCACTCTCCACACGTCCGGACGGGCCTCATGCATGAAAGAACTGGCAGAGGAACCCAGGCATGCGGGTCCCGGGGCTGAGGTCTCCAAGCCTACTCGGATTGGGACTGGGCCTTCTCCACCCAGACCCCCCCCCCCATCTTCCAGTAGGTAGGCGTCACACCCACCAGCTGCCACCAGCGCCAGGTTGGTCCCATCAACGGCCAAGACGCAGCAGAGACTATAAACCCAGCTCCCAGGAGCATGTGGCCGCATTTGCGGCCGTGCAACATCTTATTATCTTATTTTTCCCTTTGGAGAACCTGGCAGGCTACCAAAAGTATCCTGCCAGCACGGCAGAGTCTGGCAAACTTCCCGTGTCGTACCCAATATGCCAAATATCAGTAACAATGATGGGTCTCATTCTCCTAATCTTGAAAGAGCACTGAAATGGCTCTTTTAAAATCTCAAGGCTAGGACGAAGGAGACGTTACTGGTGCCTGCTTGAGGAAATCGACGAACAACAGGATGGTCGTGATCTTGTGGCACTGATCCGAGTAGGGTATAACTCCTTGGCTGGTCTTAGTTTGCTTCCTGACATTTTACTAGCAAGCTGGCACTAACACAATTTACCTGTAGCCATACAATATTTTAATATTTTTGCTTTTTTTTTTTTGCTTTTTTTGCTTTTTGGGTCGCACCTGGCGATGCACAGGGGTTCCTCCTGGCTCTGCACTCAGAAATTATCCCTGGCGGTGCTCAGGGGACCATATGGGATGCTGGGAATCGAACCCGGGTCGGCCACGTGCAAGGCAAACGCCCTACTATGTGCTACCGCTCCAGCCCTATTTTTGCTTTTAAGACCTTTAGGATGGGCTGGAGCAATAGCACAAGGAGGGTGTCGGCCTTGTACGCAGTCAACCTGGGTTCAATCCCCGGCATCTCATGTGGTCCCCTGAGCACTGCCAGGATGATTTCCTGAGTGCAGAGTAACCCCTGAGCATTGCCAGGTGGGACCCAAGAAAAGGAAAAAAAAATCACAATTCAAAAAATCACAAATCAAAAAAATCACAAATCAAAAATAACAATCATCCTGTTATTCGTCAATTGCCTCGAGCAGGCCCCAATAACGTCTCCTTCATCCTAGCCCTGATTTTTTTTTTTAAGTGCCATTTTCAAGGCTCTTTCAGGGTTAGGAGAGTGAGACCCATCATTGTTACTGGTATTTGGCATATTGGGGACGCCACGGGGAGTTTGCCAGACTCTGCCATGTGGGCAGGTTACATTCGGTAACCTGCCAGTTTGTCCAAAGTAGGAATGAGATGATAAGATGTCACGTGGCCGCAATTGTGGCCACGCGCTTCTGGGAGCTGGGTTTTATAGTCTCTGACTATAAAAAAAAGACCTGACTATAAAAAAAGACCTCTGAAAAAAGAAAAAGTGAAAGCCTGGGGTGAAACCAGAATTCTGACCTGGCACGACTAGAACCTGTGTCAGAATGATCTGGTAAGGGGCAGCAAGATTCATGCCCGTCCCTGGCCCAGGAAGCTTCCAGTTGCCCTTGATGCCTAATGGTTGGCCAGGCCAGGCAGGTGAAGCACCCCCAACTCCCCAGCACCAAATAACGCACAGGCACTTCCCACCTCCCTGCCCCTCCCAAAAAAACAAAAACAAAACCAAAAAACAACCCCAAAAACTTGTGTATAGAGGGGCTGGAGCGATAGCACAGTGGGGAGGACATTTGCCTTGTGTGCTGGTGACCTGGATTCGATTTCCGGCATCCCATAGGGTCCCACATCGCCAGGTATGTCCCCGCCCCAAAAAAAAGCAATAAATAAATTACTGAGTGCAGAGCCAGGAGTCGTCTCTGGGCATTACCCAGTGTGACCCAAAAAGCAAAATAATACATAGATAAAAATAAAAATATATATGTGTGTGTGTATATATATGTCCTGTCACTGTCCTCCCATTGTTCATCGATTTGCTCGAGGGGGCCCAGTAACATCTCCATTTTTTTGAGACTTGTTGTTACTGTGTTTGGCATCTCGAATACGTCACGGGTAGCTGCCAGGCTCTGCTGCGTGGGCAAGATACTCTCGGTAGCTTGCCGGGCTCTCAGAGAGGGGTGGAGGAATTGAACCCAGCTCGGCCGGGCTGACTGTGTGCAAGGCAAACACCATACCACTGTGCTATCGCTCCAGCCCCTAGAAGGCAAAAAGTTATTTTTTTTTTTTTCATTTTGGTTTTTGGTCCACCTCTGGCGAAGGTCAGGGCTGACTCCCGGCTCTGCACTCAGGAATCACTCCTCTTGGTGCTCGGGGACCCTATGGGATGCTGGGGATCGAACCCAGGTTGGCCGTGTGCATGGTAAGCGCCCTATTGCTTGTATGGTAGTTCTCTGTCTAAATGCTGGCGTTGTCAATGTCCTGTTTTGCGAATACAAACGCGGTAGAACCAACCAGGTACTGTAGACAGGCCTTCGTGTGGGCTTGCCACAAGGCCTTCTTTTCACGTTCGGATTTGTTCCAACGACACAGGGATGGTGGATTTTTTACATTTTGAAAGCTGGGGCTGGAGCGATAGCACAGTGGGGCGGGCATTTGCCTTGCACGCGGCTGACCTGGGTTCGATCCCCAGCACCCTATAGGGTCCCCCGAGCACCGCCAGAAGTGATTCCTGAGTGCAGAGCCAGGAAGTGACCCCTGGGCATCGCTAAGTGTGACCCAAAAAGCAAAAAAAAAAAAAAGTTGAAAGTTTCCATTTCCCATAACTCAGATGCCCAAAAACTCAGTACATTCCTGTATATAATTTAAAAAAAAAAACTGGTTAACTGGAATGTTTTTAACTTGGTCCCAGCCTTTCATACCCACAATCTGCTTGACTGTTGTGTAACAAGAACTCCCAGGGAGACGAAACAGCAGGGACAGCCCTTGCCCGCCCCCCCCCCCCCATGGCCACTTGCCATGAAGGAGGGGCAAGTGGCAAGCAACGGACCCTGGATCTCCACGCTTGCTCCAAAACTGGTACAAACAGGCTGGAGCAATAGCACAGCGGGTAGGGCATTTGCCTTGCATGCGGCCGACCCAGGTTCGATTCCCAGCATCCCATAGGGTCCCCCGAGCACTGCCAGGAGTGATTCCTGAGTGCAGAGCCAGGAGGAACCCCTGAGCATCGCTGGGTGTGACCCAAAAAGCAAAAAAAAAAAAACCAAAACAAACAAACAAACAAAAAAAACTGGTACAAACACGAAAGCTCCCTGAATGTTGTTGCTTTATTTTTAAGAAAAAAATTTTTTTTTGTTTTTTGGGTCACACCCGGCGATGCACAGGGGTTACTCCTGGTCCATGCACTCAGGAATTACTCCTGGCCATACTCGGGGGACACTATGGGATGCTGGGAATCGAACCCGGGTCGGGCCGTGTGTAAGGCAAACACTCTACCCCCCTGCTGTGCTATCGCTCCAGCCCCTGTTGCTTTATTCTTTATTTTATTTATTTATTTTTTTGCTTTTTGGGGTCCCACCTGGTTATGCTCAGGGATTACTTCTGGCTCATGCACTCAGGAATCACTCCTAGCGGTGCTTGGGGGACCCTGTGGGATGCTGGAATTGAACCCGGGTCAGCCGCGTGCAAGGCAGACACCCTCCCCGCTGTGCTATGGCTCCGGCCACGAATGTTGTTGCTTTTCACTTTCACACACTCCAAGGATGTTCTCCAAACACTTTTTTTCAATTATCATGATTATCTCCAGATATTTATGGTGCCAGGGAAGACTTCAAACCGTTGAAATTTTCCATTTCCGTAATCCAGATGTCAAAAAAAATAAAATAAAATTCGAACACATTCCCGTATACGGTCAAAAATAGGTTTACTGGAATGTTTTTAAGTAAGAGCTGAAGGTAGCCACATTGACAACACTTGGTTTTGGTTACATCCATAAACATGTGGAAATTGCAAAGCAATTATAATGTGAGGAGAATCTTGCAAATACTGTCAGGGGGGTTCTGCAATCTCCTTTTGCTGGAGAGCGTGAACACTTCTCCCATCGGCTGCCCCACCAGAGATGCAATAATGCAAGTCCTGACGTCGCTGAAATCACAGTATGAAATCTCATTATCAGTGTTTAACTATATACACGAATAACGCGCTGGCAAGCATGTCGCTTCCAAAGAGCTCCTTGGGGTGTGGCAAAAGAGAGGTTGGGGTTATCTGCTTCAAAAAATTATGAAAAGCACGTTTTGTTGGGCGGGAGGGGAAGTGGACATTTCCGGTGCTCCCATTTGAAGTGACGCTTGCCTCACGCTCTGGGGTGGGGTGGGGGGGAGTCTCAAAGGTTCTGTACACGGTGCCATCTTTCGTTACTGCCCTGGGTTCAACAGACATCAAGTCAGGTGCGGTACTTCACAAATATAAGAACTGCAAGAGACAAGGAAGGAGGGAACAGAACATCATCAAATTCCCTTTTTGTTTTTTCCTTTTTGGGTCACACCCGGCGACGCTCAGGGGTTCCTCCTGGCTCTGCACTCAGGAATTACTCCTGGCGGTGCTTGGGGGTGCCTATGCTAGGAATCGAACCCGGGTTGGCCGTGTGCAAGACAAATGCCCTACCCGCCGTGCTATCACTCCAGCCCTATCAAATACCCTCTTGCTGTTAGCAAGAGCTTCCCTGGGGTTGGAGAGCTGTGACCTTCCTGACCCTGGAAGCTGGGACCAGGTGACCATTAGTGCCACCCACCAGCGGCTCCACCCCCATGGAACACACACGATTCAAGGGGGTGACCCTAAGCAGAGGCCTTGGAGAAAAGGCTGTCCTAAAACTAGGAGGGGAGGGGAGGGGAGGGGAGAGGAGGGGAGAGGAGAGGATGTCTCACAACCGAGATGGAGCTCAGGGCTAAAGGAGGTCAGAACTCGGTGAGCTGAGACCAGTTCTGCCCCTTGAGAGGAAAAAGAATCCCGGGGGGTAGGGGGGCCCTAGGAGTTCCCATGTAAGATGCATAATCCATAAGACTCTCGGTGAAGAGCTCCCGAGTGGAACCAGAGATCACGACAAATCGTGACATCCCTTCTGAGGGCAGTGAACCCCCAAGCAACCGCACGCTGGGAAGGACCCGGCAAATACTTACTGATGATCACTAGCAAAAGGGTCACGGCGACCAAAGCCATGATAGCTTTTATCTACAAGACACAAAAGGGCAGACATCAGCAGGGGCCCCGCTGGGAGCCTCGGACAGGCACTGCATTTCCTTGGAAGCGCACGAGCTGCTGGCATCCTGCTGTGCACGGGGTTCTCCCTCACTGATGGCTGTTTTTGTGTCCCTGTGACGACTTTGCAGTCTGGGGCGGTGCTGCCAGCAGACACACGGAAGCCGCCAGGCCTGGCCTGCCCGTCTGATGTCTCACGCCCAGGAAACTGCCAAAGTACAGTTCCTGAATGGAAGCGGCCTTCTGCGTGCTCACTCTGAATGCTGTTGCATCCTGCTCCCCGTGCTGGTATGTTTTTTCTTTTTATACTTTTTTGGGTCCCACCCGGCGATGCTCAGGGCTGACTCCTGGCTCTGCACTCAGGAATCACTCCTGGCGGTGCTCGGGGGACCCTATGGGATGCCGGGGATCGAACCCGGGTCGGCAGTGTGCCAGGCCAATGCCCTCCCCGCGGTGCTATCGCTCCAGCCCCTCTTCCTGGTATTTTTCATCTCTGGGACTATACTTGAGACTCATTTTTAGAATTTCAGATTTTTCAGTTTTAGGTTCTTTTTAGTTTTAGTTAGGGTACTGTTGGCGATCGCATATCATGCAGAAAACATCCCTGCCCCCTCAGTTTTCTGCCTTCAACCTGACCCCTGCTGGCCCCCACCATGGTCTGCTGGGTTCTGCAGACCTGTCTTGGTCGGAAGAGAGCACACTAGCTCAGCAACCTGGCAGAAGGAGATGTCTTTTTTTTTTCCACTTCTTGGGTCACACCCAGTGATGCTCAGGGCTGACTCCTGGCTCATGCACTCAGGAATTACTCCTGGCGGTGCTCGGGGGACCCTGTGGGATGCTGGGAATCGAACCTGGGTCAGCTGCGTGCAAGGCAAACACCTCCCCGCCACTGTTCTCTCTCTCTCTCTCTCTCTCTCTCTCTCTCTCTCTCTCTCTTCACTTCACACCTGGCGATGCTATGGGATGCCGGGGATCAAACCCAGCTTGGCTGCATGCAAGGCCAACACCCTCCCCACTGTTCTCTCTCTTCTCTCCCTCTGTCTCTCTCTTTCGTCACACCCAGAGATGCTCAGTGGTTACTTCTGGCTCATGCACTCAGGAATCGCTCCTGGCGGTGCTCAGGGGACCATATGGAGTGCTGGGAATCGAACCTGGGTCGGTCATGTTGGCTGCGTGCAAGGCAAACGCCCTACCTGCTGTGCTATCGCTCCAGCCCCGACAAAGGCGATCTCTTAAGGTTAACCCTTAGCTGGCTGCTTAACTGGAGTCATTCAGGGCCCACGAGAGGGCTGGAGGGCTGGAAGGCCGATTCATCCCTGGCTGCATGGCCCCCCTGGTCACCAAGCCTGCTGCGTGAGTGCCCCTGAGTTTGTCGCTCCTGACATCCCCCGCCGAGAAGGGCACTGTGAGGTTTGCTCGGGACCAAACAGCAGCCGGAGATGAAAAAGTGACACTTCCTGAAGCAGATGATGGAAGATTGGGGGCGTGGAGGGGAGGCGGCGGACTTATGGCCCACCTGGGCAGGAAGCCCCCCGTTACATTCCTGCTTCCTCACACCTGTCCCCAGCAGACAACAGGCTGGGCCCAGGACACGGGTTCCACTTGTCTCTGCTCCTGTCTCCCCCTTTCCTGCCCACGACAACTTAAATGCCCTTTTTAGTCTCTCCAGGGCTGTGGCTAAAACTCACCCTCATCAGAGGTTCCTAGCACCCACCCAGGACACCCCTTAAGCAGCTTCTCCAATTCCCTTCACTTTGTCTCTGTCCCTTAGTCTGCGCCAGACAGGGTGTTTTTTTTTTTTTTTTATGCTTTTTGGGTCACACTCGGCGATGCTCAGGGGCTACTCCTGGCTCTGCACTCAGGAATCACTCCTGGCGGTGCTCAGGGGACCATGTGGGATGCTGGGAATTGAACCCGGGTTGGCCGCATGCAAGGAAAACGCCCTCCCGCCCTCCCCGCTGTGCTATCGCTCCGGCCCCCAGGGTTTTTTTTTTTTTCTTTTTGGGTCACACCCGGAGATGCCCGGGGTTACTTCTGGCTCATGCACTCAGGAATTACTCCTGGCGGTGCTCGGGGGACCATATGGGATGCTGGAAATCGAACCCGGGTCGGCTGCGTGCAAGGCAAACGCCCTCCCCGCTGTGCTATTGCTCCAGGCCCCAGACAGTGTTCTTAAATCTACCAGGCACGTTCATCAACAATTGCAAAATGTGTCCTTTGCTGGAGCAATAGCACAGTGGGCAGGGTGTTTGCCTTGTGCAAGGCTGACCTGAGGTGCAATTCCCGGCATCCCATAGGGTTCAAAAAGAAGAAAAATAAATAAATAAAGATTCCGGAGCCAAAATGCTCACGGTATAAACTGATTTCATGTCTACTGAGTTTTAATCAGTTTTCATCAAAATAGTTTCCTATTTATCGATTAAAGATGGTTCATTTGCGGGCTGGAGTAATAGCACAGCGGGTAGGGCGTTTGCCTTGCATGCTGCCGACCCGGGTTCGATTCCCAGCATCCCATAGGGTCCCCCGAGCACCGCCAGGAGTGATTCCTGAGTGCATGAGCCAGGAGTGACCCCTGAGCATCGCCGGGTGTGACCCAAAAAGCAAAAAAAAAAAAAAAAAAAAAGATGGTTCATTTGCAGGGGGAGCAGGGAGGGATGCAGTTATTATAAACAGATGAGGCATTCAAACCAGCATCACCTGCAGGAACTGCTGGAATGTCTCCAGAATACCTGGCACTGGCAGCTGGCCGGCATCACATTTTTACAGAGGGATCAAGAAAGTACATGGATACTTTGCAACTTGGACATGACTGCTATTAAAAATTCTTACAGGGGGCTAGAGCGAGAGCGTAGCAAGGAGGGCGTTTGCCTTGCACGCGGCCCGACCCGGGTTCGATTCCCAGCATCCCACAGGGTCCTCCGAGTACCACCAGGAGGGATTCCTGAGTGCAGAGCCAGGAGGAATCCCTGAGCATTGCCAGGTGTGACCCAAAAAGCAAAAATAAATAAATAAAAATTTAAAACTCCTTACAAGGGGCTGGAGCGATAGCACAGCGGGGAGGGCGTTGGCCTTGCACGCAACTGACCCGGGTTCAATTCCCAGCATCCCACAGGGTCCTCCGAGCACCGCCAGGAGTGATTCCTGAGTGCAGAGCCAGGAGGAACCCCTGCGCATCGCCGGGTGGGACCCAAAAAGCAAAAATAAGTAAATAAAAATTTAAAAATCCTTACAGGGGGCCGGAACAATAGTACAGTGAGGAGGGAGTTTGCCTTGCACGTGGTCGACCCGGGTTCGATCCCCAGCATCCCATAGGGTCCCCTGAGCACTGCCAGGAGTCATTCCTGAGCACAGAGCCAGGAGGAACCTTTGAGCATCGCCGGGTGGGATCCAATTTAAAAAAAAAAAATCCAGACCCCAAAGTGGACAGGGGTCAGATGATAAGATGAGAATGCAGGAGAGGATCCCAAGGCACCTGGGCCTCTTGACGTGCCAAAGCCCAGCAGGGCCCGGGCTGGCTCGACACGGGCAAGAAACACCCAGTTCCCAGCCAGCTGGACGGGACAGTATGAAGCTGTGCCTGCATCTTCTCCCCGCAGCCCGGGTCCCACCTACCCCCAAGCCCCCATCCTCCCTGAGGCCCAAGGGGCGCTGGCAGGCCACCTACCTTGCATCCACGCCACCACATGTGTCGTCGAAGCTGTTTGGATCTGTTGCTGAAAGCAGCTGCGTTATCCGATAAGCTCTCTAGGTCACAAAGGGCGGAGAGAAGGGTTAGTTGATGGAATGGGGTTGTTCCCTTCTTCTTTTTTTTTTTTTTGCTTTATTTATTTATTTTTTGCTTTTTGGGTCACACCCAGCGATGCTCAGGGCTCTGCACTCAGGAATTACCCCTGGCGGTGCTCAGGGGACCATATGGGATGCTGGGAATCGAACCGGGTCGGTCGCATACAGGGCAAAAGCCCTCCTTGTTGTACTAATGCTCCAGCCCCCGGAACAGGGTTCTTGGCTCATAGACACAAGAATTTTTTTTTTTTTTTTTGCTTTTTGGGTCACACCTGGCCGTGCACAGGGGTTACTCCTGGCTCTGCACTCAGGAATTACCCCTGGTGGTGCTCAGGGGACCATATGGGATGCTGGGAATCGAACCCGGGTCGGCTGCATACAAGGTCAACGCCCTACCTGCTGTACTAATGCTCTGGCCCCCCGAGTCCTGTTTCCACGGACTCTTCTTGCCTTTATCCCAGATCACGGCATTTAAGATGAAATAACAACTCTTTTACCAAAGTCTTCCTGGAGACCATATGGGATGCTGGGGATCGAACCCGGGTCGAACCTGGGTCAGCTCAAGTTGGCCGCGTACAAGGCAAGCACCAGATTAATTTACTAACTTCAACCTCTTCCCATTTTTTTTTCTTTTTCTTCATTTTGGGTCACACCCAGCAATGCACAGGGGTTACACTCCTGGCTTTGCGCTCAGGAATCACCCCTGGCGGTGCTCAGGGGACCATATGGGATGCTGGGAATCGAACCTGGGTCGGCCGCGTGCAAGGCAAACGCCCTACCCGCTGTGCTATCGCTCCAGCCCCATGCTTGATCCATTTTTAATGAAAATTTAAGGACCTTTTCCCAGAGCCACAAGGCTTTAGAATAAATGTATGATTTGGGTAGGAAAATCACACAGAACAAAATTACACACGGAGCTGTGATTCCTAGAAGATACTGATGTTTTAAAGCCAAACAGTATGAAAAAAAATTTTTTTTTTTTTACAGGAATATGGGCTGGAGTGATAGCACAGCGGTAGGGCATTTGCCTTGCTTGCAGCTGGCCAGTCAAGCCGGGTTCGATTCCTCCGCTCCTCTCAGAGAGCCCGGCAAGCTACCGAGAGTATCTCTCCCGCACGGCAAAGCCTGGCAAGCTCCCTGTGACGTATTCGATATGCCAAACACAGTAACAAGTGTCACGATGGAGACATTACTGGGCCCGCTTCAGCTAATCGATGAACAACGGGAGGACCGTGACAGGAATATAAATTTAAGAAGTGATTAAATAAGTTTTGGCTAAAATGGTGTACCAAGGGTTAATCACATATTTGGCCATTCATCATTTAACTGTTTTTTTTGTTTTGTTTTGTTTTATCATTTAACTGTTGAGGGGCTGGAGCAATAGCACAGAGGACAATGGGAAGGGCATTTGCCTTGCATGCAGCGGACCCAGGTTCAATTCCCAGCATCCCATAGGGTCCCCCCGAGCACCGCCAGGAGTGATTCCTGAGTGCAGAGTCAGGAGTAACCCCTGAGCATCGCCGGGTGTGACCCAAAAAGCCAATAATAAATAACCATTGAGCGCCTAATTCAGAGGTCGGTGACACTCAGGAGAGGAGGGTCAGTGATGGGCAGGGACAGAGCACAAGCTTCGCATGCAGGCGTCCCCAGCACCATGTGGTCCCCTGAGCAATAATCCAGGAGTAGCCTCCAGGACCCCTGGGTGTGGCCCACTGTCAATCAATGTTACCCCTTTCCCTTCCTTTCCTAGTTAACATGAACACCTCAGGTGAGTATCCAGTAAGTTCCATACGAGCAGGAAGGGTTCAAACTCTCCTCCCAAAGATCACGATAATTAGAAAGCACGGCAACATCACAGGAATAGAAGAAAAACTCTTTAATGATTTAAAAAAAATTTTTTTTTCATTCTCAGCTATACAATTAAAAAACAAATACAGTGCCAGGGCGATAGTACAGTGGTAGGGGACGAGACTGACCCTGGCATCCCATAGTGTCCCCCCAAGCACTACAGTATAGAGCCAGGAGTAACCCCTGAGCACTGCTGGGTGTGGCTCAAACACACACACACACACACACACACACACACACAAAACCAACAACACAATAACAAAACCCACACAAATACAGAGACAACTCAAAGGAAGTTAAAGCAAAACTTAGCGGATAGGGCGTTTGCCTTGCACACATTCGGACCCAGATTCGATCCCCGGCATCCCATAGGGTCCCCCAAGCACCGCCAGGAGTGATTCCTGAGTGCAGAGCCAGGAGGAAGCCCTGAGCATTGCCGGGTGGGACCCAAAAGGCAAAACATAAAATAAAATCAAACACCAAATTCATGAACTTCAGCATTTTTTGTTTGGTCAGCCCAGATTCCACCCACTAAGAAAAAGAAAGACACAAAGTCACGACCCGCCAGATCAGTGAGACCCGGCAGCAGGGTTTGTCTGTACCTGACTTGTCCTGGAGTTCATCCAATCTCTCCCCCCTTTCGATGACCTTCGTGATATTTTCTTGCATGACATCGATGACTTCGTCCACCTGATTCTGAACACTAGGTACAGAGAGGGAGGGGAGGCGCTGACCATTGCAGAACGCGCGGGGAAATGAACTTGGCCACAGCCACGGGAGCTTGGACGGAGCTTTGAGGACAGCAGGTGGCTGAATGTCTTAACAGAATGTCCCCCGACCCGGGACGTGTGGGGCTCCCAATCGTTATGCCCAAGGAATGCGACCCTGCCCCGTTCCTGTCAGCACGCGGGAAGCCTGTGTCTGTGGTTTGGGATCCACGCACGGGGGTGCTAGGATGAGGCCACCGGCCACGGGAGCCACATGCAGGGGTGCTGGAATGAGGCCACTGATCATGGGATCCATGTTCAGGGATGCTAGGAGGTCACTGGCCATGGAATCCACACACAGGGGTGCTAGGATGAAGCCATTGGCCACCACGGGAGCCACGTGCAGGGATGCTGGGATGAGGCAACTGGGCACAGAAGCAACGCATGGGGATGCTAGGAGGCCACTGGCCACGAGAGACACACGCAGGGGTGCTAAGATGACGCCACTGGCCACAGAAGCCATATGCCAGGGTGCTAGGAGGCCACTAGCCACAGGACCCACGCGCGGAGGTGCTAAGATGAGGCCACTGGCCACAGAATCCATGCGCGGGGATGCTAGGATGAGGCCACTGGCCACGGGATCCACATGCAGGGATGCTAGGAGGCCACTGGCCACGGGAGCCACATGCAGGGATGCTAGGAGGCCACTGGCCACGGGATCCACATGCAGGGATGCTAGGAGGCCACTGGCCACGGGATCCACATGCAGGGATGCTAGGAGGCCACTGGCCACAGGATCCACATGCAGGGATGCTAGGAGGCCACTGGCCACGGGAGCCACATGCAGGGATGCTAGGAGGCCACTGGCCACGGGAGCCACGTGCAGGGATGCTAGGAGGCCACTGGCCACGGGAGCCACATGCAGGGATGCTAGGAGGCCACTGGCCATGGGATCCATGCGTGGGAGTGCCAGGATGAGTTGAGTGTGCACATATTTCTTCCTGCCAAGCAGCTCCCCACATGAAGCTGCCCGTCCCTCTCTCTGCTCGTGCTCCCCGGAACGGCCTTCAAGGACCGTGTGACCGTCCCGTGCCCAGCTTTCCCTTTGTCGTCAGGGCTCACAGCCACCGAGAAGACAAGCAGCACAGGCTTCCCCAGAACTCGGCCAGAAAGCGCAGGCCCCTGCAGGCCTGTGTGTGGGGGAGAAGGACACGGAGTCTCCAGGGGCAGCTGCCGGGCTTGGGAAGGGCAGGAGGGAGTGTCCACTGCATCCCTCGGGACGTAAGAAATCGAGTGACGGATTTGCAGCCAAACCGGGGCCTGGGGGCTGGAGCAATAGCACAACAGGGAGGGCGTTTGCCTTGCACGCGGCCCACCTGGGTTCGATTCCCAGCATCCCATATGGTCCCCTGAGCACTGCCAGGGGTAATTCCTGAGTGCAGAGCCAGGAGTAACCCCTGAGCATTGCTGGGTGTGACCCAAAAAGAAAAAAGAAAAAAAAAATAAACCAGGGCCTGAGTGCTTGTCAAAGAAATGCTCTTGGCAGACATGGATTCAAAGCTACGGGAAGCCGGGCTGGACAGATGGCCCAGAGGGCTGGCCACAGGCTTTGCACCTCTAACTGTCAGCACCCTACGGTGGCCAGAGCACGCCTGGGACTGCCACCCCCGCAAAAATAAATAAATAAATAAATAAAATAAAAGGAAAGCTTCAACCAGCATGCGCGTTTCCCTTAGCTGACATTCAGAGCTGTCAGGGTGAAGTGGAAAAGCCATACGGTACGGGGGGCTGGAGCGACAGCACAGCGGGTAGGGCGTTTGCCTTGCACGCGGTCAACCTGGGTTCGATTCCCAGCATCCCATAGGGTCCCCTGAGCACCGCTAGGGGTAATTCCTGAGTGCAGAGCCAGGAGTAACCCCTGAGCATCACCGGGTATGACCCAAAAAGCAAAAAAAAAAAGAAAAGAAAAAAAAAAGGGAAGCAGCATAGGGGGGTCCTGGTGCCCACGAGCTTCTCTGGTCTACATCGGGACACTGCAATTGTCTCCTGGGCACATAAGAGGGATTTTAGGGGCAGAGGGCTCCCCGAGTCTTGCCAGGAGGGAGTCCTGGGGCATAAAGCCAGGAGTCAGCCCTAACGACCACCATGGTGTGGGGGCCCCCCATATATGTGTGTGTGTGTGTGTGTGTATGTGTGTGTATGTGTGCATACATGTGTGTGTGCGCGTGTGTGTGTATATGTGTGTATGTGTGTGTATATCTGTGTGTGCGTGTGTGTGCGCGCGTGTGAATATTACAGATTCCGTGGCCATCAGGTCTGGACCCTGCCCCTTCGCATCTGAAAGCAGGACTGGCTGTGTATCTGCTGTTTGCAAGAACGGGCAGAACGGGCGCCCCCGGGGTGCACCGGGCTGCGTTCCTGCTCTGCCCAGGAAGGCGACAACCCCTCAAACGGAAAGAGTATCTCAGGGACTTACTGCTTGATCTTATCATTCCTGGGTCCGAATCTTGGTCCAGAAGGCCCCCTCCTGCAAACAAATGCCAGGGTCAGGTCACTCATGAGGAAATCAAGGCGGCGCGAGCTGCATGCTCGACCCGGGGGCCCCTCCTGTGCCCTCGGCGGTGCTCGGGGACCATCTGGGGTGCTGAACCCGGGGTGTTCCATTTACAGAGAATCTTTCTAGAAAATGCGGGTGGCATGGGAGGCGGTCGCTCAGGGGCTGCCTGGGGCCCCGGGAAATGACAGGCAGGTGGGGCAGCAAACAGGAGGGCGCGGACACGTGTCAAAACTCAGCGTGCACGTTAAGAGACACTTCCGGGCAGCACACGTCAGGAAAGCTGGGAGGAAAGAAACTTACAGGAAAAAGTCCTCTTCTTCATCTGAGTCATCTTCCAGAAGATTCCTCTGCCGAAAGAAGGGAAGATGTGTGTTTTGAGAACAAGAGGGCAGCTTTTTTTTTTTTTTTTTGGCTTTTTGGGTCACACCCGGCAATGCTCAGGGGTTACTCCTGGCTCTGCGCTCAGGAATTACCCCTGGCGGTGCTCAGGGGACCATATGGGATGCTGGGAATCGAACCCAGGTTGGCTGCATGCAAGGCAAATGCCCTACCCGCTGTGCTATTGCTCCAGCCCCTATTTTTGTTTTTTGATTTTTTTTTTCTTTTTGGGGCACACCCGGCAATGCTCAGGGGTTCCTCCTGGGCTCTGAACTTTGCGATCACTCCTGGCTGGGGGGACCATATGGGATGCCGGGGATCCAACCCGGAAAGGCCGCGTGCAAGGCCAACGTCCTCCCTGCTGTCCGGCCCCAAGGAGGTAGACGTTTTTGGGGGGGCTTTGTTTCTCTCCCCAGTTTTGGGGGCCATACCCAGCGATGCTCAGGATTGACTCCTGGCTCTATGCTCAGGGATCACTCAGGCGGGACTCGGGGACCATTCAAGATGCCGGGGATCGAACCCAAGGCAAGCGCCGATCACGCTGTACTCTCTGGCCTTGGTGAGGATTCTGAGTTACCAGCTTCTCAGCCAGAGTCCTCTACTAAGCATCACTCCTGCAAGCTAAAAGTTATGGAACCACGGTGGGAGATGCACAGACTGAAAGAACGAGGGCCAGGGGCTACACTTTGACTTTTAAAAAGAAACAAACGGGAGCTGGAGTGATAGCACAGCGGGGAGGGTGTTTGCCTGGCACGCGGTCAACCCAGGTTCGATTCCCAGCATCCCATATGATCCCCTGAGCACCGCCAGGAGTGATTCCTGAGTGCAGAGCCAGGAGGAACCCCTGTGCATTGCTGGGCGTGACCCAAAAAGCAAAAAAAAAAAAAAAAAGTAACATCGCCTTTGCAATATGGTTATCGCGAAGAGAAACTAGAATACTAGAATGAAAAGATGGCAATCCTGGGGCGAGAATCCAGTAGGAAGGGCATCTGCAGAGCCAGGTTCAATTCCCAGCATCCCATATGGTCCCCTGAGCACCATCACGAGTAACCCCTGAGTATTACCAGGTGTGGCCCCCCAGAAACAAAGAAAGATGGCAATAAACTTCAGAATTTTCTGAAAGGCACTTACTAAGGCAGTAAAAACCATGCTTTGAGATCTTTTTTGCCTCTGTTTTGGTGTAACACCCGGAAGTGTTAAGGGCTGTTCTCAGCCTGACCCTCCAGGGACTCAGGGATGCTGGGGATAGCCCGGGACTCCGGGCACAAAGTAGCTGCCATAGCTCCAGCCCTTGCAGCCCTCTTGCCCAGCAGGGGGACTCACCCTTTCGCTCTTCACGGATCCAGTGACGTCGTCATCGTTCAGGTGGCGCTTGAACTTGGGAGGCATGTTTCTTAACTTGGGGAGCACCCCGTCTGCTTCCCCAGGAGAGTCAGTTACCTGCCCCTTGAAGAAGAAAGAAGCTGCATCAGATGTGAGACTTTGGGGCAGAAGCTGAGCACTGGCAACTGGGTGTGAGTCCCTCCAGCCAGGACGGGCTTCTTCACTCTCCCGGGCAGACCCTGTGAGCCGAGCGGCCCCGGGCTTGGTAGAAGGCCCCTGCAAGACCAAGAAAAACACAGCTCCTTCTTCAGAGAACACGATAAGCACCTCGTAATTTCCATCTCAGTGATTATTAATTCCAGAAGGAGTTTACGTTTTTGTAAAAAAAAAAAAAAAAGGCAAAGTGGTCTGTCCGAGACAGGAGAAAAGAGGAGGTAGCCCATGAAAAAAGAGACAAAGAACTTAAAAACATGTTTATCTTGGGGTCCAAAGGCAACGGAACATGGCCAGCTTGCTCACTTTTCTGTCCTTCCATCCTCTCTCTCTTTCTTTCGTTTTTGGGTCACACCTGGCCATCCTCAGGGCCTACTCCTGGCTTCTGCACTCAGGGATCACTCCCGGAAGGCTCGAGGGACCATATGGGATGCCGGGGATTGTGGCTGAGTGCAAGGTAAGTGTCCTGTCCACTGGACTATCGCTCAGGCGCCATCACTTTTATTTATTCGCTTAAACAATAGTGAAACAGGGATGGCTCGGTTTCTGCATGGGATTGGGAAGTGGTCAAGTCAGATTAGCACATGCAAGACCATTTGAGGGACGCCTCCCCATTCTGGGAAATGGCCCCACCTCTACCTGAGATTTACACCGTCCCCTCTCTTTCCTTCCTCAAAGTCTCTAAGGCTGGAGCGATAGCACAGCGGTAGGGTGTTTGCCTTGCACACAGCCAGCCCGGCTGAGCCGGGTTCGATTCCTCCGCCCCTCTTGGCAAGCTACTGGGAGTATCTCGCCCGCACGGCAAAGCCTGGCAAGCTCCCTGTGATGCATTCGAGATGCCAAACACAGTAACAACAAGTCTCACGATGGAGACGTTACTGGGCCCGCTCCAGCAAATCGATGAACAATGGGAGGACCGTGACCGTGAATATATATAATATGGTATCTTATACTTATATATCATTGTATCACGGTCATCCCGTTGTTCATTGATTTACTTGAGCAGGCGCCGGTAACGTCTCCATTCGTCCCAGCCCTGAGATTTTAGCAGCCTCTCCTTACTTGTCTTTCCCAGATTCGATTCCTCTGTCCCTCTCAGAGAGCCCGGCAAGCTACCGACAGTACCCCGCCCGCACCGCAGAGCCTGCCAAGCTCCCTGTGATGTATTCAATATGCCAAAACCAGTCCCAACAAGTCTCACAATGGAGACGTTACTGGTGCCTGCTCGAGCAAATCGATGAACGACGGGAGGATAGTGCATAGTGCTACTTATGTATAATATTTATTTATTTATTTATTTATTTTGCTTTTTGGGTCACACCTGGCGATGCACAGGGGCTACTCCTGGTTCTGCACTCAGGAGTTACTCCTGGCGGTGCTCAGGGGAACCATATGGGATGCTGGGAATCGAACCCGGGTCGGCCGCGAGCAAGGCAAACGCCCTACCCGCTGTGCTATCTCTCCAGCCCCTGTATAATATTTAAAGCTATTTATAGATATTTAAAATACATACGTCTTCTTTAGAAAATATCAGATATTGTTCTGAAGCACAGCATGGGGTGTTCCAGAAAAATAAAGAACCACATGTGCCAAGAGCTGGGTTTATGCAGCCAGGATGGGCTTGTCCTCGCTGTCAGAAAACCTCACCGCCTTTTCCATGCTGACAGGTCGCTGTCATTTGCTCCTAAGGGGCGGGCAAATTATTCAGAATTTTCTGGTGGGAAAAAAAAAAAAGCTGAGCCCGAGTGTGTGCGTCTGCATGCGCCCCCTTGCTCTCCCGGGCCCCCCTCTTTGCATTCAGAGGAGTATGCGGGCTGAGGGTCCCCCTGTGCCCCCCAGCCTTGGTGGCCCGGGTGGGTCGGGGTGAGGGGGCGGCGCCGCTGCAGGACAGCCAGGCACCGGCAGGGGGCGCGCGTCGCAGCACCTGCCCGGGGGGCGGAGCCACCTCACCTGGCCGGAACGGATGCAAACGCCCCAGGGCAGCTCCCCGTCCTGCGGTGCAGCCCCCAGACCCAGCGGCGCCTCGGGGTGCCCCGAGCGACCCCCGAGCGCGCTCTGCCGCCTCCGATTGCGCGTCCCCCCCGCGGGCTGTGCCCCGCGACTCATCCCCAGCTTGGGGGGCCGCCCCCGGGTGGGCCCTCCCCATCCCCCGCGCCCCCTGGCCGCAACCCCGCAGACCCCAGACCGTCCGGCGCGATCGCGGGCTCCTCCCCACCGGGGGTACCCTCGGCGGCCCCCCAGGCCCAGCCCGGCTCCTCGCGGACGTTGGGGGGCTGCGGGGCGCGTCGCCCGTCCTCTGTCTCCTCGCGGCGGGTGGGCGGATACCTGCGTGTGCTCCGGGGGGCGCTCCGGGCAGCCCTCGGGGCTCGGCGGAGTGACCAGGGCAGCGGGCAGCCAGGGTCCGGCGTCGCCGCTCCGCCGCAGCTGCGCCCCCGCGCATCGAGTCCATCGGCGCTCCCGGCGGAGGGGCGGGGCCAGGCCGCGGAGCGCCGAGGGAGTCGATGAGCCCAGCCGGAAGAGGCCGCGGTGGCGGGGCGGGGCCAGGAGGCGGGAGCGTCGAGGGATTCGTCGTCCTCCCTGCCACTCCATGCTCCCACTCCGGAAGAGGCGGGGCCAGGCCGCGGAGCATCGTGGGATTCGTAGTCCTCCCGGCTACTCCGCGCCACACCCGGAAGAGGCCTCCGAGGGGGCGGGGCCAGGACGTAGAGCGAGTCGCAGAGAGGCGGGGGCGGGGCCAGGACGCAGGGGCGGGGCCAGGACGCAGAGCGAGTCGCAGAGGGACGGGGGCGGGGCCAGGACGCAGGGGCGGGGCCAGGACGCAGAGCGAGTCGCAGAGGGACGGGGGCGGGGCCAGGACGCAGGGGCGGGGCCAGGACGCAGAGCGAGTCGCAGAGGGACGGGGGCGGGGCCAGGACGCAGGGGCGGGGCCAGGACGCAGAGCGAGTCGCAGAGGGACGGGGGCGGGGCCAGGACGCAGGGGCGGGGCCAGGACGCAGAGCGAGTCGCAGAGGGACGGGGGCGGGGCCAGGACGCAGGGGCGGGGCCAGGACGCAGAGCGAGTCGCAGAGGGACGGGGGCGGGGCCAGGACGCAGGGGCGGGGCCAGCACGCAGAGCGAGTCGATGCCCCGCCCCCGCCCCGTCCGCTTGACACCTGGAAGCTGCGTGGGGTGCCAGCGGCGTCGGATGCGCGTGGAGCCCGGGAAACGGGCTGAGGATGAAGGAGGCGCCGCTGCCTGAAAAGTGCATCCCCCACCTTTAGGTCAGGGCTGCTGGGGGGGAGCGTTTAGGTTTATTAGGTTGCATTCGGCCTCTCTGTTGGACGATTGTTAGGAGGATTTAGTTCCTCTGGCTTTTGTGAAGGCACTGAAGCTGCATGTTTTTTTTGGTTCTGTCTTTTTTAAATTATGGAATCGGCCCTTGCAAGGCGCCAAAGGGTCCCCGAACCCTGCCAGGAGTGCAAAGCAGGAGGAAGCCCTCATAAGCACTGCCGGGTTTGGCCCCAAGACAAGACAAAACAAAACAAAACAAAAATGGGCTGGAGAGACAGCAAAGCGGGGAGAACGTTGGACCTGCACGCGGCCGACCCGGGTTCGATTCCCAGCATCCCATAGGGTCCCCCAGGCACCGCCAGGAGTAATTCCTGAGTGCAAAGCCAGGAGGAACCCCTGAGCATTGCTGGGTGGGACCCAAAAAGGAAAAAAAATACCAAGGGGCTGGAGCAATAGCACGACATGTAGGGTGTGCCTTCCACACAGGTTCGATTCCCAGCATCCCATATGGTCCCCCAAGCACCGCCAGGAGTGATTCCTGAGTGCAGAGCCAGGAGTAACCCCTGTGCATCGCCAAGTGTGACCCCCCCCCAAACAAAACAAAAATACCTTGGGTGGGGCACTTGAGAGTTTCTCTTTAGTAAACATCCCTTTTAAGTCCTTGGGGAGGACAGACATCCAATAAAACGGGACCCATTTTATTGCTGAGGGCTGGATTGCTGCTTGCCACTCTTGAGGACAACAATTTGTTTTTTTTTCCCCAAGTTTTGTTTTTTTTCCCCCCACAAAGGCGTTGTGGTTTGGAACAAAGGGCTGAGAAAACACAGTCACAATTGATCTGTGTCATCATCCCCGGAATCTTGGCTGCCAAGCACGGGAGTGGTCCCCAAAGACATCCTGTGACCCTGTCAGCTTTCTCGGGGGTGGAACAGTGCACTGGGGACAAGCGCTTCCCCTTGGTTTCCTTGCCCACCTCTCCTGGCCTTGCAGTTCTGTTGAGGCACCTCAATGAAGGACAATGAAATACCAACATCAGAACAATTCTTGACAAATGGTCAGTGCCAGACCAACTGAAAATAATGAGTCATGACTATCCCAAACTGAAGAATCTGGCAGCTTGAGTCTGCTATCAGGTCAACAATATCTTCAAAGAGTGTGTTGATGTCCAGTTAATAAAAATCGTGCAATGCCAATCAATAACCATCCTTCTATTATTCCAGGGGGCTGTGCATTTCTTAACTTCTTAAATGGGGGTGAGATGGCTTGGCAAAGAAGAGGTCCAGCATAAAACCCAGCATCCGACCATCCCCTTCCTTGTGACCAAAGGGATAGACCCTTTAAAAAGCGGTTTTACATGCCCTGGGGGAGCATTTTGCGGTCTGGTCCCGGCTCCAGCCGGTACCCCTGAGCATCTCTGAGCCGCCCCGGGAGAGGCGTGCGGGGTGGGGCGCGTGGGATGCGGCCCTGGCACTGCATTTTACTAGCGGGGCGATCTCGCAATCCCGGGCAATAAACAGTTCCACTCGGCGCCCTTTCTCCTTCCCGGTTTTAATTTTTCAGAGTCCGTTGTACCAGGTCGTGCAGAGGGCAGGGTGGAAGCTCTCGTGTATCCATCCCTGCATCTCTTCTGCTTGATTCCCTGCCAACAGCTGGCCACCAGATGTTCCCGTTCTTCCCGGACAGAATGGGCCGGTCGTTCCTGGTACCGGTTCGTTGCTGCTTCCGTGATCCGGGCTCGCTTCTCTCCTTTTGGTCTGATTAGGCTGAATTTCTATTTCTTGGGGCTCTCCCAGCCCGACTATGCCCGACAAGTGCAGGATGCAGTGTCTCCTGCTATAAGCACGGTCTCCCTCTCCAGTGCTCCCTTCGCCCGAGGTAGCCCCGGATCAGAGTCGGCACAGGGCAGAAAAAAAATAACAGAGTTGAGTCCAGCCGGGATTGAACCCACCGCGCGGCGCCAGAACAGTCATCGGGGGAATGCTGGTAGCCGGGCCGCTTCCGCCCCGACTCCGGGCCACTTCCGCCCCGACTCCGGGCCGCTTCCGCCCCGACTCCGGGCCGCTTCCGCCCCGACTCCGGGCCGCTTCCGCCCCGACTCGGGCCTCCATCCTTCCCACCCCGCCCGCCTGCGTGAGGCGCGCGCACCGCAGCCAATGAGAGGGCCAGGAATCAGGATCCGGGCCCGCCCACCACTCGCTGCCGCCAATCACGACAGAGTCGCACCCGGAAGTGGTTTTTGCGGCTGGGGAAACACAGTCCACGTGGGGCCGAGGAGGTGGGGAGCTGCAGGCGTGCGGAGCTCGTTCCCCGGCGGGTTCCTTGCAGGGCGTGGGGGGTCCTCAATCGATGTGGCTGCTTGCCCGTGGGAGGAGCTCCCCGTGCAGCGTCCTGGGGCCGGCGTGGGGCGCGGCGGGTCCCAGCGGGGGACCATGAATCTCTTACCGAAAAGCTGCAAGGAGTTCGGCGCCGCCGAGTACTGGGAGAAGTTCTTCCAGCAGCGCGGGAAGAGGACGTTCGAGTGGTATGGCACGTACCTGGAGCTCTGCGGGCTGCTGCACAAGTACATCAAGCCCCGGGAGAAGGTGAGGCGCGGCCTGGCAGGACCCCCCAACCCCGCCTTGCTACTGCGGGCCGCCCCGGAGTTTGCACCCGGAAAAGTGGCAAACCCTGGCATCGTGCTGCACTTCAGGATTGCAGGCGCTTGGCTCCGGCCGGAAGGCGATTGCCTCCTTTCTCTGCAAGGCTCCCCCCAGTGCTCCTTCTGCAGAGTCCCGCCCAGCCCGCGACCATCACTTCTTGCCTTGTACCCCACCCCCACCCCACCATCCCGAGAGCCAGAGACGCTCTTGCAGCGCCGGGGCCAGCCGCGCAGTTGGCAGGTCCCCGGGCCCAGCCCTCGCGCCCCTAAAGGACAGATGCCAGCACTGTTGGTTCAGGATCAGGAGTGTGCCAGGGTGGGAGTGAGCGTGCAAGGGGAGAAGTGGAGCGTGCGTGGACGCTTTGGGTGCCAGGCCTTCTGGGGGCGTGTGGGGTGGAAGCAGTCTCCGTTAGTATCATTTAGTGGAGCCTCCCTGATAAATGCAAGGGAAGAGCTGCAGACAAGGGGCGGGGGTGGGGTGGAAGTGCTTGCTTGGGGGTCTCCATCCTACCCACCCGAGCACTGCCAGGAGTAGCCTTGGATAATACCAAACACCTCCCAAACACCCACCTCACCTCTCGTCCCCTCCATCGCCACCAAAACAACAACACAAAAACACTTGTGGAGGAGAGGGGACACACACTGCAAACCCCAAGGCACTGACCCAGTTTCCTTGGTTTTTTTTTTTTTTTTTTTTTTTTTTGCTTTTTGGGTCACACCTGGCGATGCACAGGGGTTCCTCCTGGCTCTGCACTCAGGAGTTACTCCTGGCGGTGCTCGGGGGACCCTGTGGGATGCTGGGAATCGAACTCGGGTCGGCCGCGTGCAAGGCAAACGCCTTACCCGCTGTGCTATCACTCCAGCCCCCTCCTTTTTGTTTTTGAGTCACATCTGGTGATGCTCAGGGTCACTCCTGGCTCTGCTTAGGAATCACACCTGGTGGTGCTCAGGGGACTGTTTGGGGCGCAGGGGGTTGAACTGGGTCGGCTGCGTGCAAGGCACATGCCCTCCCCGCTGTGCTATCGCTCCAGCCTCTGAACCAGCTTCTTTCCCAAGATCATGCTGGTAGTTGGTGTCTTCCTGAGTATGACCCCCGAGGCCCGTCCATCCAACCCCCGATAGGCACGTCTCATCCTGCTGCATTTTTTCTAGGGAGGCCAGCACGGGAGCAGAGTATGGGGGTCAGGCCCTGGTTTCCCAGTGAAACAGGTTTGCACATCAGGTGTGTGATTGTCAAGTCTCTGCAGCACATGCTTGGTTCAGAGGAAAAATGATTAGTGTTCTGAACACCATGATTGGTTTTCAAGAAAACTCGCCTTACCTCAACTTCACTTGCTGGTCTTATTTTGGGTTGGGGGCCACACCCAGCAGTGCTCAGGGCTCCTTCTGACTCTGCGCCCAGGAGTTACTCCTGGCTGTGCTCGGGGACCCGATGGGGTGCCGGGGATCGAACCCGGGTTGGCTGCGTGCAGGGCAGGCGCCCTCCCCGCTGTGCTGTGGCTCTGGCCCCAGCCTCACCTTCACCTTCATTGTTGTCTCTACATGTGATTTTGGCTAGGGAGATTTTTTTTTTTTTTTTGCTTTTTGGGTCACACCCGGCAATGCACAGGGGTTCCTCCCGGCTCTGCACTCAGGAATCACTCCTGGTGATGCTCAGGGGACCACATGGGATGCTGAGAATCGAACCCGGGTTGGCCCCATGCAAGGCAAACACCCTCCCCGCTGTGCTGTTGCTCCGGCCCCAGGAGATTTTTTTGTTTGTAATGGGGAGCACTGTGCTGGGAGTCCCCGCATGCGGGACACACCAGCCCCCGGCCTCGACTCAATCCTTGGTCTGTCCCCCCTCTCCCCCCAGGTGCTGGTGGTGGGCTGCGGGAACTCAGAACTGAGCGAGCAGCTGTACGACGTGGGCTTTCAGGACCTGGTTAACATCGACATCAGCGAGGTGGTCATCCGGCAGATGACAGAGCGTAACGCCAGCCGCCGGCCCCACCTGCGCTTCCTGCAGATGGACATGACCTGCATGGACTTCCCCGACGCCGCCTTCCAGGTGGTGCTGGACAAGGGCACGCTGGACGCCGTGCTGCCGGACGAGGCAGAGGAGACGGTGCAGCGGGTGGACAGGATGCTGACCGAGGTGGGCCGCGTCCTGCAGGTGGGCGGCCGCTACCTCTGCATCTCGCTGGCCCAGGCGCATGTGCTGAAGAAGGCGGTGGGCCACTTCTCCCGGGAGGGCTGGATGGTGAGAGTCCACCAGGTGGCTGCTGACCAGGACCCGGGGCCTGGCGCTGAGCCGCGTTTCTCCTTGCCCGTCTTCGTCTTCGTCATGACCAAGCTCAGGCCACTGCCCGGCGGCCCCGCCCGGCCCCTCTTCGAGCTCTGCGCGCAGGAGCAGGGCCCGGCTCTGCGGCTGGACAGTGCCGAGCGGCTGGTCGAGGCGGTCAGCGAGCGACAGCGCTATGCCTGGCTCTGTGGTCAGCTGCGCCGCCAGGCTGGCCTGGGGACCGTGTCCCTGGACCTGTGCCACGGGGACACCGGGGAGCCCCGCTACACCCTGCACGTGGTGGACAGTCCCGCCGGGAAAGCAGCACGGGACAGCCACTTTGCCATTTTCATCAGTGAGTCGGGACCCCCAACACCTTTATTTCCGGGAGGGGCGGAGGAAGGGGGAAGCCGAAGGGGTCTCACCTTACAGCCCTCCCGCCCCTGCCCAGGTGGACAGAGGATGGGGGAATGGACCAGGAGGAGTCAGAGGAACAGACCAGTCTGCCTGGGTCATGTTCTTTGTTATCCGTTGATTATTGAGGAGGGACACACTTGGTGATGCTCAGGGCTGACTCCTGGCTTTGCACTCAGAGATCAGTCCTTGTAGCGCTTTGGGGACCCTCTGGGTGCCAGGGATCGAACCCTGGCCGGCCGCATGCCCTCCCCGCAGGACTATCCACCTCCACGTTCTTTCTTTTTTTTCCTTTCGTTCTTTCCTTTTTTCTTTCCTTTTTTCTTCTTTTTGGATCATACCCTGCAATGCTCAGGGCTGACTCCTGGCTCTGCACTCAGGAATTACTCCTGGTGGTGCTTGGGGGACCCTACAGGATGCCGGGGATTGAACGCCAGTCAGCTTCATGCCTTCCCTGCGGGACTATCCATCTCCAAATTCTTCTTTTTTTTTTTTCTTTTCGGTCCCACCCGGCGATGCTCAGGGCTAACTCCTGGCTCTGCACTCAGGAATCACTCCTGGCAGTACTTGGGACCCTGTGGGATGCCGGGAATCGAACCTGGGTCGGCCGCGTGCAAGGCAAACGCCCTCCCCACTGTGCTATTGTATTGCTTCAGCCCCTCCACATTCTCTTTCTTTGCTCCAGTTTGAGCGAGAATGCTGGAACGTGTTCTCTGCCTGGGCCCCCGCTCTCGTCGCTGAACTGCAGGTCGGGCCCGGTAACTCGGCGTCTCTGTAGGCCTCTGGCTCTCAGGAGGGGGAGTAGAGACCCTTCCGGAGTCTGGACTCACTTCCTGGAGGTGTCCTGGGGTCAGGCCAGGGCAGGTGCCTCCATTGGGTCCCCTGCAGACAGCACCAGGCCCACGATGGAGCAGCACCTTGACCAGGGCCCCCGCAGGGGGTCGGGGAGGCTGGGCTCCTCGTCATGGGGGTCCAGAGGCAGAGCGTGAGGGGTCCTGTCCCGAAGGAGGAAATCCCAGAGACAACTGAGCCACGTGCTGTGCCTGCCGGTGGCCCGGGTTCAATCCCCAGCACCACGGGGTCGCCCTGAGACTGTCAGATGTAGCCCCTTGCCCCCAGCGCCCCCAACAGACCCATACGAGGTGCTGAGGTTGGACTTTTGTTTGGGGAGGGGGGGGGGTCACACCTGGTGATGCTCAGGGGTTCCTCCTGGCTCTGCACTCAGGAATCACTCCTGGCGGTGCTCGGGGGACCCTAGGGGATGCCGGGGATCGAACCCAGTTGGCCGCGTGCCAGGCAGACCCCCTCCCTGCTGTGCTATGGCTCCAGCCCCCGAGGTTGGACTTTGCCGTACCCTGAGCGTCTGATCCCAGTCTGATGGGAAAGCGCAGGGGTCGGGAACCCCGGGGCTCCCCCTTGCTTCCTGGGGCTGAGTCCCAGTCTCTGTCCGGGGGGGAGACGGTTCCATTGGGGGGCTCAGACACTTCCCCAGCTCCTCCCGCACGTGGGGCTCCCACCCGTGCTTGATTCTGCAGCCTGCAAGGAGAAGACCCGGCTGGCCACATGTCGCCTATACTGTCCTCCTCAGAGGACACCCCCAGCCCCATGCGCCTCTTAGCCCCGGGCTGCTTCCAGGGTGGGGGGCCATCACTGAGCGCCCCTCTGCAGTCCCCCAGGGCAGGGAGACCGAGTGGCTCTTCGGCACGGAAGAAGGCCGGAAGCAGCTAGCGGCCAGCGCAGGCTTCCGGAGGCTGGTGACCGTGGCCCTGCACCGCGGCCAGTCCTATGAGGGCATGGACAGCATCCAGGCCGAGCTGTCCACCCGCGTCCTGGAGCTGGCCCCCGCGGGGATGCCGGCCCAGCACCAGGTACCAGGTCCCCCGGCAGGGGTGGGTGGGGAGGGGGGGCCCTTCAGAGACCCGCGGACAAGGGTTGCCAGCTGAGGAACCTGTCGAGGTTTTTTTTTTTTTCTTTTTGGGTCCCACCCGCCGATGCTCAGGGCTGACTCCTGGCTCTGCACTCAGGAATCACTCCTGGTGGCACTTGGGGGACCCTATGGGATGCCGGAATCGAACCCGGGTCAGCTGCCTACGAGGCCAATGCCCTCCCCGCCGGGCTATGACTCCAGCCAGACCCTGCGGGTCTTCTAACTCCTTCGACGGTCTCGGGGACCCTCATGTGCTCAGTCCTGTGGGTTCTAGGGGAGCCCCCTTGGGAGTGGCCCTTATTGAGGCTGTGGTGGCGGGGAGGAGGGGGGCTGCTGGATGGGGTGGGCGGAGCAAGCCGCTGTCCTGACCGCCCCCGCGACACCCCCCCCACCCCACAGGTACCCTTCTTGTCCGTGGGCGGGGACATCGGGGAGCGCACCCTGCGGCACCAGGCCTGCAGTCCCCTGAGTGGCGACTTTGTGGTGGAGGACGTGCAAGGGGACGGTGGCCACCTCTTCCGGCGACTCATCTTCCTCTGCAGCAGGAATGTTGTGCAGTCAGAGGCGCGTCTGCTGCCCGCCACGGCCCCCGGAGGTGAGCGCCCCCAGCCCCATCCAGAGCGCTGGACTCAAACCCGCGACCTTGCCCCCCAGCCCTGTCCTGGGCACTGGACTCGAACCCATGGCCTCGCCCCTGCTGGCCCCACGCGCTTCGGCCCGTTGGCGCGGTTCCTGAGCACGACCCAAGCGGCGGGTGTTCAGGGTCCCCCAGGGGGGCTCAGAGACCCCCGTGGTGATCTCCGTGGGTGGGCACGTGGGGGCCCCGCTTGAGGTGAGGTGCACGGAGCAAGTAGCCAGCCAGCCCAGGAGTTGGGGGTGTGGGGGGGCCGGAAATGCCCCTCCTCCCCATTAGCCGCCCTGTTTCCCTGACCTTAGCTGTACTGGGGGAACAGGTAGGAGAGAGAATTTGGGTACTCGCAGCCCTGGACAAGTGGAGCTGGGGGCCCGGGGTATGTGGAGGGCTGGTCGTTCTTTTCTTCGGGGGTCTCTCAGCCAAGACAGGAGTGTTGGGGGGTTCCCACCCTGTCCTGCAGGCCTTGGTGCTGGTGTTTTCTTTTTTTTTCTTTTTAAGTCACACCCGGCGATGCTCAGGGGTTCCTCCTGGCTCTGCACTCAGGAATCACTCCCGGCGGTGCTCGGGGGATCCTATGGGATGCTGGGAATCGAACCCGGGTCGGCCGCATGCAAGGCAAACGCCCTCCCCGCTGTGCTATGGTGCTGGGGTGTGTGTGGGGGAGGGGGGTCTCGTCCCTCTGGAGGGGCCTTTTGGAGGAGGTTTTGGCCCCCGCCCTGGCTCGTCTCTGGGAAGGGGGTGCGGGCTGTCCCCCAGTTTCCCCGAGGCTCTCAGGGGTCCTCCCCTGGCTCTGACATCCAAGCCATTAGAGGTGTCTTTTTCTTTTTCTCTCTGGGTTTGCTTTTTCGGGGGTCACACCAGCGATGCTCAGAGGTTACTCCTGGCTCTGTGCCCAGGAATCATTCCTGGTAGGGGCTCGGGGGACCCCGTGGCCTCTGAGATCGGGCGTGTCCATTGTGGTGCGACTCTAGACTGGGGGGCCCTAGGGGATGCGGGCGTTGAACCCCGGTTGGGCATGTGCAAGGCGGACACCCTCCCCACTGTGCTGTCGCTCCAGCCCTGTTCCGGCCTCGTTGGAGAACAAAATCCCTGATGGGTTCTGTGATGTCGGAGGGGTTCCCCCATACACACCAGATTCCAACACCCTCTCCCCCCGCCCCCCCATGGTGGTGCCGGCTCAGCGGGGCCCCAGGCTCTGTGCCTGGACATTTGGGCCGAGTCCCCACCTTGCCGCTCAGGCCCGGAACCCCCATCTCCCTGTCTCCTGTCTCCCCAGACCAGAAGAAGCGGAAGCGGCAGCGCAGGAAGCCGCGGGCCCCTGGCACTGCCGAGGACCCCCCCGCGGGCCCCGGGCAGCCGGTGGACAAGAGCTACCTGTGCTGTGAGCACCACAGGGCCATGGTCGCCGGCCTGGCCCTGCTGCAGAGCTCGGCCCCCCTCCTAGGTGAGGCACCCCTGCTGCGCGGGTGGGGGTCGCCCCGGGGGTGGCCCGGGCGGGGACACTTTGTTCTGAAGGTCCTTGGGTGTGTGTGTGCCTGTGTGTGTGTGTACTTTTCCTGCTCCCTTCTTTCTTTGTAATTTGTTGTGTTTGTGTGTGTGTGTGTTCCTGCTTCCTTCTTTCTTAGTGGTGTGTATGTGTGTGTGTTCCTGCTCCCTTCTTTCTTAGTGGTGTGTTTGTGTGTGTGTGTGTGTTCCTGCTTCCTTCTTTCTTAGTGGTGTGTTTGTGTGTGTGTGTTCCTGCTTCCTTCTTTCTTAGTGGTGTGTTTGTGTGTGTGTGTTCCTGCTTCCTTCTTTCTTAGTGGTGTGTTTGTTTGTGTGTGTGTGTTCCTGCTTCCTTCTTTCTTAGTGGTGTGTGTGTGTTCCTGATCCCTTCTTTCTTTGTGGTGTGTTTGTGTGTGTGTGTATGTGTGTTCCTGCTCCCTTCCTTCTTAGTGGTATGTGTGTGTGTGTGTGTTCCTGCTTCCTTCTTTCTTAGTGGTGTGTGTGTGTTCTGATCCCTTCTTTCTTTGTGGTGTGTTTGTGTGTGTGTGTATGTGTGTTCCGGCTCCCTTCCTTCTTAGTGGTATGTGTGTGTGTGTGTGTGTTCCTGCTCCTTTCTTTCTTTGTGGTGTGTTTGTGTGTGTGTGTGTGTGTTCCTGCTTCCTTCTTTCTTAGTGGTGTGTGTGTGTGTTCCTGATCCCTTCTTTCTTTGTGGTGTGTTTGTATGTGTGTGTGTGTTCCTGCTCCCTTCTTTCTTTGTGGTGTGTTTGTGTGTGTGTGTGTGTGTGTGTTCCTGCTTCCTTCTTTCTTAGTGGTGTGTGTGTGTGTTCCTGATCCCTTCTTTCTTTGTGGTGTGTTTGTGTGTGTGTGTATGTGTGTTCCTGCTCCCTTCCTTCTTAGTGGTATGTGTGTGTGTGTGTGTTCCTGCTTCCTTCTTTCTTAGTGGTGTGTGTGTGTTCTGATCCCTTCTTTCTTTGTGGTGTGTTTGTGTGTGTGTGTATGTGTGTTCCGGCTCCCTTCCTTCTTAGTGGTATGTGTGTGTGTGTGTGTGTTCCTGCTCCCTTCTTTCTTTGTGGTGTGTGTGTGTGTGTGTGTTCCTGCTTCCTTCTTTCTTAGTGGTGTGTGTGTGTGTTCCTGATCCCTTCTTTCTTTGTGGTGTGTTTGTGTGTGTGTATGTGTGTTCCTGCTCCCTTCCTTAGTGGTATGTGTGTGTGTGTGTGTGTTCCTGCTCCCTTCTTTCTTTGTGGTGTGTGTGTCTGTGTGTATTGCCTCTTCCTGCTCCTTTCTTTCTTTGTAGTTTGGTGTGTGAGTGTGTGTGTGTGTGTGTGTGTGTGTGTGTTTGTGTATGTGTGTATTCCTGGTCCCTTCTTTCTTTGTTTTTGTGTGTGTGTGTGTATGTGTTTTGGACCACACCCAGCAGTGTGCCAGGGTGACTCCCAGCCCCGTGCTCAGGGGTCACTCCCCACAGTGCTCGGGGGAACCATTTGGGATTGAACCCGGGTCTGCCGGGAACAAGGCAGATGCTCTACTCACTGCTCGATGCTTTTGAAAACGGAGGAGTGGGGGGTGGGGAGGCGGTGAGGACTGTGTGTCTGTCCCCCCAACCCCCTCCCGGCTCCCTGGGCGGGGCAGGGGGGCAGGCGGTCACCCACGGCCTCTGTGCTCCCGCTGCAGAGACGCCCCTGGCGGTGCTGGTGGTGGGCCTGGGGGGCGGCAGCCTCCCCCTCTTCATCCACGACCACTTCCCCAAGTCTTGCGTGGACGCCGTGGAGCTCGACCCCTCCATGCTGGCCGTGGCCACCGAGTGGTTCGGCTTCTCCCCGAGTGACCGCCTGAAGGTGCACATCGCCGACGGCCTGGTCCACATCGCCAGCCTGGCCGGGCGGGAAGGTGAGAGGGTCCCGACACTCCTGGGGACTGGGGAGGGTTCGTGGGGGCGGGGGTCGCCTCAGGGTCCAGGGCTGGGAGGCCTCTAAGTGCGTCCCGGGCAGAGGGAAACCGGGTCCACAGCTGAGAGGCTTCTTTATTTTTTTTTGGGGCTTGCTTTTGGGGTCCCACCTGGCGATGCTCAGGGCTGACTCCTGACTCTGCACTCAGGAATTACTCCTAGCGGTGCTCGGGGAACCTATGGGAATGGGATGCCGGGGATCGAACCCAGGTTGGCCACGTGCAAGGCAAATGCCCTCCCCACTGGGCTATTGCTCCAGCCCCCACAGCCATCATCTTTTTTTTTTTTTTTTTTTTTTTTTTTTTGCTTTTTGGGTCACACCCAGCGATGCACAGGGGTTACTCCTGGCTCATGCACTCAGGAGTTACTCCTGGCGGTGCTCAGGGGACCCTCTGGGATGCTGGGAGTCAAACCCGGGGCAGCCGCGTGCATGGCAAACGCCCTCCCCGCTGTGCTATCACTCCAGCGCCAGACAGCCATCATCTTTAGGGGTTTATTTTTTTAACGTTTTTGCCTTTTGGGTCCCACCCGGTGCTGCTCAGGGCTGACTCCTGGCTCTGCACTCAGGAATTACTCCTGGCAGTGCTCAGGAGTAACCCTATGGGCTGCTGGAAATCGAACCCGGGTCAGCTGCGTGCAAGGCAAACGCCCTCCCCGCTGTGTCGTTGCGCCAGCCCTGTCTGTGAGGCTTCTAAGCGCATCCTGGGGAGGGAGGAAACGGGGGCCGCGGGGTGTTCTCTGGACTCCCCAGATTACCAGGCTGGAAGCAACCGCGGTGCACTCGGAAGCGAGGGCAGTGGCCAGTGTGTCCAGCCTGTGTGAGCCGTGGCCATGTGGCCGGCTGTCCATCAATGATTGTGACCTTCAGGCTTTGTCCCTCCCGTGCGTCCCACAGTGGGTCGTCCCTAGCCCGCTGGGGCCGCCTCCTGCCTTGCAAGCGCCCCGCCACCCCCCTCCCCCACGCGTCCCTAGTTGCAGCCGATGCGAGCTGCACCCCTTCCCTGCAGCCCGGCCTCACGGCGGCGGCCGCCGGCACCTCTCTCTCCAGCACCGCCCCACTACCACGCCGTCATGTTCGACGTGGACAGCAAGGACCCCACCCTGGGCATGAGCTGCCCTCCGCCCGCCTTTGTGTCACAGTCCTTTCTGCAGAAGGTCAGCAGCATCCTGAGGCCGGAAGGTAGGGGTGCAGGGGAGCAGGGGCACATGGGGTAGGGGTGGGGGGAGCGAGGGCCCCCCCCTTCCCCCCCCCCCCCCCCCCCCCCCCCCCCGCTCAACTGCTCAGGAGTGAAAAGCGCGTTCGTCCCAAGCGGGCAGTTGGGTCCAGTCCAAGGCCCTACCCCGGCCCTTCCCACACACCCCTCCCAACAGAGTACCCCTCCCCCATCTCTATCTACCCCCCCGCTTGGCTGCCTGGCTTCGTCGCGCCCCACCCCACCCCCCCAGCTCCACCACTACTGATGCAGTGCACTGCATGGTATTGTCTGCTACTGGTGCAGTGCACTGCATGGCATTGTCTGCTACTGGTGCAGTGCACTGCATGGCATTGTCTGCTACTGGTGCAGTGCACTGCATGGCATTGTCTGCTACTGGTGCAGTGCACTGCATGGCATTGTCTGCTACTGGTGCAGTGCACTGCATGGCATTGTCTGCTACTGGTGCAGTGCACTGCATGGCATTGTCTGCTACTGGTGCAGTGCACTGCATGGCATTGTCTGCTACTGGTGCAGTGCACTGTGTGGGTTGTCTGGGGTGTGTGTGTGTGTGTGTGTGTGTGTGCGTGCATGCATGGCATTTTTTGGGTCACACCTAGCAATGCTCAGGGCTGACTCCAGGCTCTGCACTCAGGAATCACTCCTGGCGGTGCTTGGGGGGACCCTATGGGATGCCGGGGATCGAACCCAGTTTGGCCGTGTGCCAGGCAAATGCCCTCCCCACTGTGCTATCGCTCTGGCCCCTGTTCAGGGCTTTTGTGCTCAGCACTGCTGCCCAGACGTTCTGGACCATGCCTGTGGTTCGGAATTGGCCTGCAGTTCTGCAGGGGGCCCTCTGCCCTTGTTGGGGGACACAGTGTGGTCTCCCAACTGCTGGTGCAGTTGCAGGTTCGTATCCCCACCACCGGGGGCGCCATCCCCCCCCAGCTGTGCTCTCCTTGCGGGTTGGGTCCTGTGGGCTGGTTTCAGGTATGGAGACTGAGGCAGGCTTGCCAAGGTGGCACCAGGGAGGGAGCTTCGGGGCCCCTGTCACCAGAACCCTAGAGCTCTTTGTCCCAGTGTGTCCGTCCCTGCCCCCCTCCCCGGGGCTCGGTGTGGTGTGAGATTTGTGGGCAGCAGAACAGACTCTGAGTTGGCCTCTGTGGCCCCCACTGCGGCTCTGTGGCCTCCCGGTCCCCGCCTCGTCCTGCCCACCCCCCCCACCTTCCACACCTTCCAACTCCATCCTTCATCCCCACAGGCGTCTTCATCCTCAACCTCGTGTGCCGGGACCCGGCGCTGAAGGCCTCGGTGCTGGCCGGGCTCAAGGCCGCCTTCCCACTCCTATACGTCCGGCGCATCGAGGGCGAGGTGAACGAGATCCTGTTTTGCCAGCTGCACCCCGAGGCCAAGCGGAGCACCCCCGAGCTCCTGGAGGGGGCCCGGGCCCTGGAGCGGGCCCTGAGGGGGCCCGGGAGGCGCTGGGACGACACCTACGTCCTCTCTGACATGCTGGAGTCTGTGAGGATTGTGTGAGGGCCAGCTGGGCCCGGGACAGGCCACGCTTGCGGTCGAGTCTATAGATTCCTGTTCTCTGCTTCCTGCCTGGCTGCCCGGCGGGGCGGTCCAAGGTCGGGGAGAATAAAGTCTTTCCCCGTAGACGGTCTTTGTTCCATGCCCCCCTTTCCTTGCTGCTGGACCTCGGGTGAGCCTTGAGCGCCCTGCGTTGATGTCTGGTCCAGGGGATCATCTCCCCGACAGCCCTCCGGGCACACAGGAGCTTCTCCAAAGGGTTTGATCTGTTCCAAATCAAACGCAGCCAGAAGACTTGGATAGAAGGAGAAAGGGCAGTGTGATTTCCACCACCGACACTTAAGCAAAAACATAAGAAAACATGGGGCTGGAGCGATAGCACAGCGGGTAGGGTGTTTGCCTTGCACGCAGCCGACCCGGGTTCGATTCCCAGCATCCCATAGGGTCCCCTGAGCGCCGCCAGGAGTAATTCCTGAGTGCATGAGCCAGGAATAACCCCTGTGCATCGCCGGGTGTGACCCAAAAAGCAAAACATACAAAAAAATAAAACAATTGATAGCACAGCGGGTAGGGCATTTGCCTTGCATGCGGCCGACCTGGGTTTGATTCCCAGCATCCCATAGGGTCTCCCGAGCATTGCCAGGAGTGATTCCTGAGTGCAAAGCCAGGAGCCAGCCCTGTGCATTGCCAGGTGTGACCCAAAAAGGGAAATAAAAAAAAATTAAAAAAAAAATCTCTTCATAGCAGCCGTAGTGATAGCATAGCAGGGAGCGCGTTCTCGTTGCATGCAGTGACCTGGGTTCGATTCCCAGCATCCCATAGGGTCCCCTGAGCACTGCCAGGAGTGATTCCTGAGCACAGAGCTGGGAGTAAGCCCTGGGCATCACTGGGTGTGACCCCCCCCCAAAAAAAAGAGAAAAAAAAATCACTTCATACTGGTGAAAGATCATCCATGGTGCTTAACTGTATTAATTTGTGTTGTTTTTGGAGACAGAGGCGGAAGCAAAGGCCGTTCTCACTGCCCTGCCCTGCACCATTGAGTTCTGGTATTGCATGCAGCCAGGCATGAGGCTGTGCAGAGCATCAGGCCTTGCTCAAAGACTCGGAGGCCCCCCATCCCTTCCCCCTACGGTCACCCAGTTCCAAGGGAAACTGCTCACTGTCAGGGCACTGCAGGTTCTCTGCTCCAAGGCGAGCCAGTTCCTCTTTCTCCCCAGCAGGTGGCCCCAGAAGCCATGTTTCTGCTCTGGGGAGAGCAGTCAGATCCTTGCTCTGAAACTGGCCTGGCCAAGGGGCCCTATGGGATGCCCAGGATCGAGTCCCCGGCCCAGTGCACACAGAGCAAGCCCCTAGTGGGTCACACCCGGTGGTGCACAGGGGTTCCTCCTGGCTCATGCACTCAGGAATTACTCCTGACGGTGCTCAGGGGACCCTATGGGATGCTGGGAATCGAACCTGGGTCGGCTGCATGCAAGGCAAACGCCCTCCCTGCTCTGCTATGGCTCCAGCCCCCAAGCCTCTAATTTTTTGTGCCTTTTTCCGGTTGGTGCTTTGGACCACATCTGGCTATGCTCAGGGCTTACTCCTGGCCGTACCCAAGCATCATTGCTGCCAGGGCTTGGAGGGCCGGACGCATAGATCGGCCAAGGGTGGGTCAAACCTGGCCAGGCCACTTGCCGTTGCGCACCTTTAAGCCCGGGACTCTCCCTCTGGCCCAGTTGGGAGATTTTTTTGTAGAACAGCACGGTACAGAGGTGGTTCTGCACCACTGAACTTCCGGGGACTGTTTCTCGCACACACGTTCTGGACCATATCGCAGACGTGTGGGGATCACTGTCACTGTCACTGTCCTCCCGTTGTTCATCGATTTGCTCGAGCGGGCCCAGTAATGTCTCCATTGGAGACTTTGTTGTTACTGTGTTTGGCATATCGAATACGTCACGGGGAGCTTGCCAGGCTCTGCCGTGCGGGTGAGATCCTCTCGGTAGCTTGCCAGGCTCTCCGAGAGGGGCGGAGGAATCGAACTCGGGTTGGACATGTTGGCTGCATGCAAGGCAAACGCCCTACCGCTGTGCTATCGCTCCAGCCCCAGGGGAGAATAGACGAATCCAGACATCTGTGTTTTCCTTTCTGGGGCACACCTGGTGATGCTCACAATCTCTCCGAGTGCTGATGGGGGGCGAGGGGACAGGCTGGAGGTTGAACCCGGGTTGGGGGGGTCTCCCACATACAGACATACCTTCAGTCCATGGAGGACCAGTCCTGGAGTGCTTCTCCCCTCCCCCCCCGCCTCCCCATGTTCTCACCCTCCCAGTAGTTAATGATACTTCAGGAAGTACTTTTAAGTATCAGTGGGAAGTTTGAGAAATCGCATGCAATTGTACTTCATTGCTATACAGTTGAAGATTTGTAGGGGTAACTGTTTGCCCTAACAGGCGTTTGTGTGGTTTCCAGAATTCATCTTTGAATAGTGTTGGTTAGGTTGGAGTTTCAGCTACAAATCTGAAATAACCCTTTTTTTAAAAAAAAAAAGTTTTATTTTCTTGAACAAATTAGGCAAGGGTGGCACCTTAGGTGGGGGGCAGTTCAGAGGTGAAATAAAACTGTAATAAAACTCTTCTTTACAGGAGCTGGAGTGATAGCACAGTGGGGAGGGCGTTTGCCATGCACGCGGCCGACCCGGGTTTGACTCCCAGCATCCCCTGAGCACTGCCAGGAATAACTCCTGAGTGCATGAGCCAGGAGGAACCCCTGTGCATCGCTGGGTGTGACCCAAAAAGCAAAAAAAAAAAAAAAAAAAGAAAAAGAAAAAAAGCTCTTCTTTACAGAGAGTTAATAGGCAACACAAACCCTCACATCTCAGAAGTCTTTTTATTTTTATTTTTTATTATTTTAGAAGTCTTTTAAATTTTTTTTATTTTATAAGGTAGTTCACAATATTTGATTACATTTAATATTCAGACACCAATCCCATCACCATGACACCTTCCCACCACCAAATTTGGCATGTTTCCATCCCAAGCCCCAATCCCTGTCCCAAAGCAGAACCGAAATAATATACTTCGTATTGTTTGTTATGAAAAACTATGGTGGGGCTGGAGTGATAGCACAGCAGGTAGGGTGTTTGCCTTGCATGCGGCTGACCTGGGTTTGAATCCCAGCATCCCATATGGTCCCCTGAGCACCACCAGGAGTAATTCCTGAGTGCAGAACCAGGAGGAACCCCTGAACATCGCCGGGTGTGACCCAAAAAGAAAAAAAAAAAAAGAAAAACTATGGCTGGAGCGATAGCACAGCGGTAGGGCGTTTGCCTTGTATGCGCTGACACTGCCGACCTGAGTTCAATTCCTCCGCCCCTCTCGAGAGCCCAGCAAAGCCTGACAAGCTCCAGGTGATGTATTTCATATGCCAAACACAGTAACGAGCCTCAAAATGGAGACATTACTGGGCCCAGAGCAAATGGTTGAACAACGGGAGGACAGTGTTTGTTTGTTTGTTTTGAAAAACCATGGAAAATGCTACAAAAAACAGCACTATTTACACTATGGATAACTATTCTGTCATCCATAGAGGAAACAGTGTGAAGATTGTTCTGTTTTGGCAGGGTCCGTTAAGACCTTCTTTAGGATATTAACGTGCTGTTTAAGGTGAGCTTTATACGATCACGATCACGACCATCCTGTTATTCATTGATTGCCTCGAGCAGGCCCCAGTAATGTCTCCTTCGTCCTCCCCCTGAGATTTTTTAAAAAGTGCCATATTCAAGGCTCTTTCAGGATTAGGAGAATGAGACCCATCATTGTTACTGGTATTTGGCATATTGGGGACGCCACGGGGAGTTTGCCAGACTCTGCCGTGTGGGCAGGTTACATTCGGTAGCCTGCCAGTTTGTCCAAAGTAGGAATGAGATAAAAAGGTGTTGCGCGGCCGCAAATGCGGCCGTGCGCTTCCGGGAGCTGGATATATAGAAATAATATATATATAAATAAAATATGTATATATGCATATATATATATAGTTCTCTCTGATTTGTTGCCTACAATTTGAACCCCATCAAATGTGGTGTGGTACTTATGGAATGGATAAAGAGTTTCTTATGATGTGTCAACAGCCGTGCGGTCCAGGAATATGTTCACTCGTGGGTGAGGCTGAACCTGAGCGTGTGGGTAACGGCCTTGAGCCTGGTGGCAGTTGGGTTCTGGAGGTTTTCCGCTGCCGGGGCTGGGTCTCTTGGAGCGGGGAGGGCCCTCACCCGCCCCCGCCCCCCCCAAGGTGCCCAGAGTAAAACAGCCTGGTGTGGAGTCCAGTGGCATGGTTATGGTGGGCATCTTGTTGCTCTCTTCCAAGAGAAAAAGCCATGTGTCTGGATGGTGGCACATCTCAGAAGTCTTTGAGTAACTCACAGTCACAGAGTTTATCAGGTCAGAGAGATAGTTCAGTGGGTAGGCGGCTTACCTTGCCTACAGCCAGTCTGGGTTCAATCCCCGGCACCCCTTATGGTGTCCCAAGCCTGGCAAGAGTTGTCCCTAAGCATGGCCCTGGGTGGCCCCCAAAACAAACAAGTCTAATCTGTGTTGTAGATATTTTATAGTTTTGGGCTTTGGGGTATGTTGGGCATATTTGCTGGTGCTGGGGTTGCCCTGCCAGTGCTTGACAGACGGTGGTACTGGAGATAGAACTGGACCTCCAGTGTGCTGAGCTACTTTCCTGGCCAGTTTGAGGTTTTAAAACTTAACTTAGGGGCTGGAGCGATAGCACAATGGGTAGGGCGTTTGCCTTGCACATGGCCGACCCAGGTTCAATTCCTTTGTCCCTCTCGGAGAGCCCGGCAAGCTACCAAGAGTATCCCGCCCGCACAGCAGAGCCTGGCAAGCTCCCCATGGCATATTTCTTATGCCACACACAGTAACAACAAGTCTCACAATGAAGACGTTACTGGTGCCCGCTCGAACAAATCGAGGAACAACCGGAGGGTGGGGCATTTGCCTTGCACACTATAAACCCGGGTTGATTGCCAGTATCCCGTACGGTCCCCCGAGT